TAATTCCTAGTCATGGGACCATTGTGCCTCAGTTTTCTCAACTATAATATGGGAATCATAATACCTAGAGTATGGGAAGTCTAGACTATGCTATGGTAGAAAATAAACCCTTAAGTCCCAGGGGACAAATATATCAAAGTTTATTTCTCACCCATGCAAAGTTAGGTGTGGATCTTGGGGCCTCTCCCAGGCAGTTCCCTGCCAAAGTGGAGAGTTAGGGCAAGTCAGTTTGCATCTTGCGGTTCCACTCTCCGAAACATGTGACTTCTAGGTGGCCACTGCAGGGCAAGAGAAAGCTAGAAACAGTGCACTGGTTCTTAAATGCTTCAGCCCAGATGTGACACATCTCACTTCAACTTGTGGTCCACTGTCCAGAGCTGGACATATGGCCTTGCTTGAGTCTAAAGTGGCAGCACGATGGGGAGGAACACATGGTTATCTGTCTGTAGTTACTGTATCTGCCACAGAGAGTAACACAAGGTGCCTGATACATAAGCAGCACGAAACGTAACCAGAATTATTATTATCCAAAATAACCATCTGAAAAATGATTCCTACTAGTGGAGATTCAGGCATGGACTAGATTCACCAGAGGTGGGCGAGTTCCTAGGAGGTGGAAGAGGTGCTGGAGTGTAACCACGATTGTCACTCCCATACCCTCCCCCCTCCCCCCAACCCAGTGCCAAGCTCAGCGTGTCCATTATACGCTCACATGTGTTCAATCTATCAGAACCGTCCCTGGGTTTCTGCCTTGTTGCCCCAGGACCAGCTCTCCTAGAATAGTGAGAAGTGGGGAAGTGGGAGGCAGAGGTAGACACCCGGTCACTCCAACCTCACCTTCCCGAACAGTCGGCATCTGTGATAAGCTGGGCACTGAGCAAAAGCAAGCCCCGGAGAAGCCCACAGGCTGGCTACCAAAACAAGGTATATGGGAGCAGATATTGCCTTACAGAAGTTCTCTTGTTGGTAAGGATCATGAAAATCATCACATCTTGTGAGGCTCGTGCTCTAAGCAATTGCCAGTTTACAAGGAGACTATCACCTTTTGGTGAGCAAGTTTTCCTCTAAATTAGTTAATGCTTGGGACCTTAAATTATAAGCATGAGTGGCCATTACTGGGACCTGCTGATGCCCGGGGCACACTTTGGCCAAGTAGTAAGCGAGACCAGCATATCCCCAGTGACGGAGCCAGCCTGTTCCAGGCTTCGTGGCCAGTAGGCATCAAGTAGCTGCAGGTGGAAGAACGTAAACTTGACAGGACAGTTGTGAGTTCACATGAGGAAAGTCTGGGGGCTCCTGGGAATAACCAGGTGAGACAACAGCAGAAGACTTCTGTGGTGAGCAGCAGGAGGCAGAGGCCATGAAATCTGAGTTACTACTGTCACTGGGACCTTATTTTGCCTAACAGCCAGTGTGGCCTCAAGAAGCACAGGTAACAGCAGAAAGTCCTGAAAGTGACAACCAAGAAAATGGATTTCTGAGCATACATGGAACACCTCTGGGGGCTCCCAGAACAAGGTAAGAGGACTCTGGGGGCAGGGGCTGATGTTCCCACAGTTGTGGGCAGAGAGGGACCCAGAGACTACTGCTTTTCACTGTGATTCTGACCCTACTGTGCTCCTCCAGGCCACTGTCTTCTAGGCTGGAGATTTGGCAAAGACCCTGAAAGGACTTCGCTGGGATGTCCAAGCCCTGGGTTCTCTCCGTGCAGGACCTGACTTTCCAGCTCCTCCCAGGGATGATTCTGCCTCTGAACCTGAATTCTGGGTCTAGGAAGGAGGTGCTTTCCATGCCCAAGAGGCCTCAAGGGGCAACAGAGACTCAGACCAGCATGAGCCAGGAGCTCAGTCAAAAGGAGCCGTGCACCCTCAGTGCCCTCAAAGAGAGCCTCCTTCCGTGTAGGGAGAGTGAGACTTGGTGGACAGTTCCAGGGTCCTGGGACAGGATGGCGAAAGGGACTGCTGCCATGGTGCACACAACCAGCAACACATCCAAATCCAAAGACATCAGATCAGTTAAAGATTGAGATGCAGCCCAGGGCTCAGTGGGAAAGCATCTGCAACTGATCAGTGAGGTCCCCCCGGGGGCTGGAGGATGTAGGTGACTGCAGACAGTTACTGCAGCTTCCTGTCTGTCTGTGAGCTCAGTCAAGGGACTCAGCCTCCCACCTTCCTTCCCAGCTCTAAGGCCGAGTATGAGAGAAAGTAAACAGCAATGAGGCCCTTATGCATGAGGACAAAACCCTCTTCCTTTGGAGGAGCCCTCAGCAAGTGCTTCCTGGCTCTCTCAGTTCAAGTCTTCAAGTTAAGCTGTGAAGCCTCTTCCCTATCGCTAAGCAGTTGCCCTTGTGCTCAGAGAGGTCCCTTTTAGGGTCTGCATGAGCTGCACCAAAGCATGGGGCTGAGCCTTTCTCCCCAAAACCCAGACCTTCCTGGACTGGTAGACACCCTCCCCTGCAGGTCCGCTTCCTTCCTCACCCTGCTCCAACCTCATCTGCATTTAACATCCCTTGTTGGGCTGTGGCAGAGAATACTCAACAGACTCATATTAAAAATGCCCTTTAAAATTCAAAAGCTTTGAACTAAAGAAATACCTTGAGAAGTTTTCATGGAAAGTTCAGCTCCACTGGTTCAATTCACTACACTTAGATGCACCTTTTCAAATAATAGGGAAAAAATGTAACAGGGTCAGACCCAATCAATACGCTTGTTCAAACAGAATTGCAGGGACTGTGATGTGCGCACATTTTGTACTCTGCCTTTGTACCCCGCCACTCGCTCTGAAGAAAGGTTTCTTTGCTAGGAGAGCAATGAAAGTGGTAGCCTTTTGAGTGGAGGTGGCAAAGCCATGGCGTGTTTACCGGGCCGGGAGGGGCTCTGCCATTTTTCATGTCTTCCCCAGCCAGGTCTCTTTGTTCTTTTCATAACGGTGCACAACCCACATGGGCAAAGTCCCTTGCACACCCCAGCATCTGATGCTGTGTCGGAAGCAGAGGGCTCCCAGCATTCGTCTGCCACGTCTCAGAAATGTGATTTGGGGATTAGACAAATAATTTGCTTCTTCTTTCCCACCCTTGGTAAGAACACAAAACGACTTGCCAGGGAGGCCTCCGCTGTCCTTGCGGGAAATTCCCAAAGCCAAAATGGGCTCCTGTCTGGCTGAGCCTGAGCCAGGGTCTGCTCCACCCCACCCCCACCCCTTTAGGCCCCTGGAATGAAACTGTGGGCAGATAGATGGTTCCCTGGCCATGGCCTGCAACCTAAAATAACCAGGAAAATTCTAGAGAACCCAGCTGCCCTGAAGGCAGCCCAGGGGTTAGAGAGAGAGGAAGGGGCTAGCTGCAGCTTACACTCCCACAGACACCAACGCAGGCAGAATAGTAAATGATGGAGAAAACAAAACACTTGTTCTCATCGTCTACACTAGTCTGGGCACATCTACTTCATGTGGACTCACAAACCCTACATACGATTATAATAATCTGAATGACGTTCTGGACATGTTGAGAATCTTGGCAGTTCAGGAGGTTCAAGAAGGCATTAGGAAAAGATGTTATTCCTAACCCATTTCATACGAGATCCTAAAATGTTTTTGTTGGTTCTTGCTATAACTAGACATCCAGGGCTCAACCTAGACCCGGGTTAAAGTCAGAATTGAGGAGTGGACACCAGCAAACGGATGCAGAAGTGTGCTCACATCCCCTTCGTCAACTGCAATCTCGTTAAGGTCCTGGGGTCTCCTGGAAGGAAGGGAAGTTGGAATCATAGGGCCACATGGCATTCCCCAGAGTCTTCCCCACCCTGTAGTGTCACCGGCCAGCCAGCACTGTCACAGAGGGCCCCATCTTACCTCAGGTAACGAGAGTGCTCTCAAAGCCAGGCCACATCGCCTGCTTACGCAGGATAAAGCTGGAGTGTGCCTTTTCTGAGCATGGTACTCTCCGTCGACTCCAAGTTGAGGGCCTGTCACATACTCCCTCACTCTGTAGATTGAAATCTGGGCCTCAATTCCTGTAGAACAGGGTACCCCTATTCCTTGACGGCACACTCTAAAACCAGCAGCAAGGGAGGGGGTTCCGCATTCCCTCTTACACAGGATTGTATGTGTGAGACAGAAAGTGAGACCAACAGTAAAAAATCAAATAAAAAAACCACTGGCATGTTTTCACTGAGAAAATGTCTACAGATGGCCACCCTGTGGAGTGGGTATTATCTCCTGTGTGGTTCCTTTTTTGGTTTGGGGGGCTTTGCACTCAGTTATGAAATCATTCTCACCACCACCACCACCCCACTTCATCTGTTATGGTGACATTTCCAAATAATGTTTAAAACCAAAGAGTACATTTTATTTTAAAATTCAAAGAGTTCAGTAGCCAAAAAAGCAGCAGTACCCCCTGTTCGGAATGCCCTGGAATCTACTTTCCCCAATTTAAACAGTTGGAAAGTCACCATGAACCTCGGATGCTCTTCTTGGCAGTAGAGAAAAACTGCCATAACAACAAGCTCAGAAATATACACACCCCTCAATGGAACTGGCTTCTTGCCTTCTGTTTTGAGCATACATCACAAGTCAAAATGAATTAAATACAAATCCAGTTTGCAATGGTCCGTCACTAAGCTGCCTCCCAGGAGCGAGCCAGCAGCATGTGGGTTGGAAGGGGGCCCGCAGCGTTCCCTGTGCTGTCTTGAATTGGACTGCAGTCTGTCTGACAAAACCGGCCCCACGAGGGAGTCCACAGCCCAGCGGCTCCTTGACTGGGATGGGGTAGGGGGTTGCCTTGAGCAGCTGTGGAAGCCTAGCCAGGGACCCAGAAGCACAGGCCTCCTCACTCCAGGCCTCTACAGTCAATCAAATGTCAAGGAACCGTCACCAGAAGAAACTTTTCATAGGTAAATAGAAGCAGGACCGAGAGCTGACAGTGGGGATTTTCCAAAGAAATGGAAACAAATGTACACAGGCCACTCACCAGAGACTATAGCCAGCGAGAAACAGGAAACGTATCAGGTTAATATTTTAATCTGTACACCACATTTTTTTTGCAAACCATTACATTTTTAAATTAACTTTTTCTTGCAAAATATTCATTTCATTTTCTCCAAGAAAATCTTACAAAGGCAAAAATAAAATTTTATTTTGGCAAATGTCATGAAGTCGATACTGGCAGCATATGGAGTTAGTTAAAAATAGACGACAACTGCTAAATATATTCAAAATTCTATTTTTTTTCTGAGCATAGTCAAAGAGAAATTTTCATTTAAAGTGTGGCTCCACCCAATGGAGGTTTTTGTTGTTGTTGTATTTCCATTTAAACGTCATTTTTTATATGCAGAATAATATAAGAACACAACTTAAATAAAGGGCCACAAACACTGCACCTGGCTTGGTAGCCCCCCTCCTCATGTGGGGCTGGAAGTCAAATCAAAGTCCTGCCATTATGGCCATGAGGGATGGTGGGGGCACACTGCTGCCCTCCTGCCACCAGACCTGAGTCCCAGGGAAGCCAACCCGGGATTCTCCAAGGGCAGGCCGCAAAGGTTCCCATCATGGCCTGGTTGGAGGGAAGGGATTTCTAGGTAGATGTCACCCAGTATGGAGTTTATTGCTATAATACAATGAAAGTTGCTTCCTCTCACATTTTCTGTACTTCAATGTGTACTGTTAAAAATGAAAGCAGGCCAGGCGTGGTGGCTCACACCTGTAATCCCAACACTTTGGGAGGCCGAGGCGGGTGGATAACCTGAGGTCGGGAGTTCAAGACCAGCCTGACCAACATGGAGAAACCTCGTCTCTACTAAAAATACAAAATTAGCTGGGCGTGGTGGCATATGCCTGTAATCCCAGCTACTCGGGAGGCTGAGGCAGGAGAATCGCTTGAACCCGGGAGGCAGAGGTTGCGATGAACCGAGATAGCGCCACTGCACTCCAGCCCGGGCAACGAGAGTGAAACTCTGTCTCAAAAAAAAAAAAAGAGAGAGAGAAAGCAAACTGCTTTTTTCTTTCTGACAAGAGCCCTTTGCTGAGGAAAGCCTGTGGGCCCCAGTACTCTTGAACACACTGTTGCCCCTAAGCCAAACCCAAGGGGCAAGGCACAGACTTGGGCTCCATGTGCGATCCTGGTGGAGTTTCACATAGAGCGGGTCATCAGGTCAGGGACAGCTGATCTCTGCAGCCAAGGTTCCCTCTACTCCCAGACAGCACGCCAACCAGCCTCTTGCTGGAGTCTACTGGGAACACCTCTTCAAATCTCACTTTCTCCTAAGGTCATTGGAAGCTGGACTAGCCTCTGCTTGCCCCACCCTTCCCACCCCCCAACACCTGTCACCCAAAGTACCCGAATCTGTATGTGCAGCTGCAAAGTCCTGCATCCTCACCCTTCCTGCCACTCAGCCCTTGAGGTGAACATTAGAAAATAGATTCCGATTCTAAAATACAGTGTATTCTACAGTGTGTATCAAAAGTGCCTTTGCCATTCATATGTAGAGAGGAGTCTGAGCTAAACTAGTGGGTGCATATTAGGACCTGGTCTGTGGTGAACACCTGTAGTCAGTAAGCTGCTCCTTCCTCCAGCCAGATTCCCTGCTCAGCTGGAAGTGGTTTCCTTGGGGGCAGAAAGGTCATCTCCTTGGAGGAAGCTGGTTCCACTGGGCCCCTGGCTCCAGGCTTCTCCTTCGTGTGCTGAGTCACGGGTCAGTCACTGCCTGGGCTGGCAAAAAGCACAGGCGACAGTGAGAAGCTGGCAGGAGCCCTGCTCACATCCAGGGAACAGGCACGTCTGCACACACATGACAGAATGGCAGATAGGCGGACAGGCAGAGCAGCAGAGCAGGGGGCTCCGGCAATGCGGCCGCCGCTGTGGGACCCTCAGCTTCTAGGACACATGGGGCTCTCACCCCGCCCTCCCTGCACCCCTACTCCACTGCTAGACACATGCTGGCCCCTAAATTAGGTCCCCATCCTGATAGGGCAAAGACTCTAATAAGGGTGCAGTCTGGCCCTGCCCTTCATTGAATGTGGGTAGCGCTCTTGACCTCTGTGGGCCTTGTTTTTCTAACCTAAAAAACATGGTGGTCATACCCACTTCTTAACAAGGATGCTGTGAGGGTAAGAAGAAATGCAGTACTCCAAAAAGGGTATAAAAGGCCGATCTCACAGCCATGGGGGCACCAAAACCCAGTAGGAACAGAGTCTCTCTCCTGCCTCTCTGTGCCTGAGCGCTGCTACTGTGCTCAGATCTGTAGGAGAAAGCCACACCCCCAACCGTGGCCTTCACAATGGACCTGGCTAGAGCACTTCCCTATGGCTCCTCAATCATCTCCACACCTCCTAGAACCCGGCCCAAGGAGGCTGGCCTCGTCCTTCCACGCTCAGGCTGGCAGGGACTTGCTGGCTCTGCTGTGAGGCAGGGGGAGCCCAGGATGGACACCTGACAAAAAATCATGCTTTGTTTCCTGCAGCACAAACACTCTCTCCCTCTTTTCACTTCTTTCTCCAAACACTTAGAGCTGCTCAGGGCGGCCCAGATGAATCCATGAGTGGTGATGGGGAACAAAGGCTCTGAACTCATATCAAAGGGGTTCAAACCCCAGCACTTACAAGCTGTGATTCCTTGCGCAAATCCCTCAAGGTCTCTGAGCTTTTGTTTTCTCATCTGTAAAATGGGGGGAAATATCTTCATAGGTTGTTGTGTGGATCAAAAGAGATGCTTAGCACAATGCCTGGCACACAGCAGGCACTCAACAATGTTAACCACAGTATATGTAAAGGAAGGAGAGGGGAAAGCCCTGCAAAATGATAGTGGGATGCGATGTCAGGGAAAGGACTGCCCAGACCACCAGTCTGACCTTCCCCTGTCCAGGTGAACCAATGGGCTCTGAAGCAGCAGGCTCAGGCCAAGAACTCACTTGAGACTGGACCAGATGCCGGCCTCCTGTTGCAGGGCTCCCTCCTCATCCCGCACTGCCTCTCATCACTAGATGCCCACATGGGGAGGGCTTGGTAGGGGTGGTACCAGAGCTTTCTGCCTGGCTGACGGCCAATTTAACGTTGCCCTGGGCTTCCCTTTCTCTCCCTCTTAAAGTGCCCAGTGACCAAAAGGGCAGTCCCAGCCTCTGCACTGACACCAATTCTTTGTGACCTGGAATGAGCCCCGGCCCCTCACTGGGCCTCAGTTTCCTTATCTCTAGAACTGGACTTTTCCCAATCTTACAGTTCTTCCATTTCTTTGGCCAAAGCCCTGAAAGGCCAAGATCTAACTCTTCCAGTCCCCTGAGGCTGGCAGTGTGGGCTGCACTGGTTCTTGGGCATCAGGCTGCCCTACTGAGGAGAGCAAGGGTTGGGGGCATAGTTCTGGTTCTAGAGATTTCAGGGAGGCAGCAGGGTGTATCTCTCAGTCCCTATTGTATTACAGCCACTGAGGACTCAGTTCCTAAAAAGCATCACTTTCCCACCTGCCTACCAGTCAGGACAGTCCCCACAGCGGCCGCTTTGTCAGTGGAAGGAGGCGTCAGCAGGTGGCACTGCAATCATTTCAGCACAGCAGGGAGGTGAGGAGCTCAGTGCTAGGGAGGCACAGGGAGCAGGCAGGGGCACACCAGGCAGGGGCTCTTACTTGGAAGGTGTTAGACAAAGGTGTAGTGGAGTCCGTTGGTTAAAGGGGGGTAAGGTGGCACCGTCCTGGGAGACAGGGGGCCTTTAGGCGGGAGGAGGGCCAGCTGCTGCGCTAGATGGGGCAACAGGAATTAAGCGGTGTGTTAGACTCCTCGTCAGCTCCTGCAGCACCAGATGCCCCAGTTGGCAGGCTGCGGTGGCATGGGCCCTGCTGCCCACCATGAAGGGCCTGGGCTTGAGGGTGAGGGACAGACCCATGGGGCCTGGTGGGGAACCAGATGGGTCAACCTGCAGTTCGTGGATATGCTTCTGAGATGGAGAGAGGGATCGAGAGTGAGGAAAGGCTGCAGCAAAAATCATCTCTGACTAGGAAGGGAGAAAGGCCCTGGGAACTGGTCACAGCATATTAGGGCTGGGGGCGCTCATCTGCTGGCAGTAAGGAGGCTGAGGATGGCAGACCCCCCAGGGTTAGAGCAAGCAAGGCGAGAGGAGGGCACGGTATGGTGGGGGAGCCGCCCCTGCTCGAACCTTCCCCAGAATGAGCTCAAAAGCTGCTAAGATGAGCCCCAGGGTCATTAGGAGGAGAGGTCTGGATGAGTCATCTCCTGCATCCCTAGTCCCAGAACACCACACTGGCCAACTCTCAGCCCACTCAGCATGTGCTCGAAGGGACTGAGGGCAGCAGAAATTTCAAGGACTGTGCAGGATCAGGCTGTGGGGGACAGAGAACAGGTTTTGACTATGACTATGGCCCCTCCCCTTGTTGTCAGTCACTCTCATGGCCTTCTGGGGCCACAGCAAAGCTCTCTGATCCCCAGACCAGACCCCCCAGGCCCAGGCCTCTGAGGGCTCTGCCAGCCACATCCTTGGCTACTTCTAGACCCTTTGGCCAGGGTTGGAGAATTGGTAGGGGCCATGACACCACTTCAGGCTCTATGGCTGCCCCCTCCCCAGAAGGAGCACACCTGGCCAGGAGCACCACCCAGACACACAGTGGCCTCTGCACTGGGGGAGAAATGGTACCGGGTGAACTGTGAAGGCACAAGGCATACACAGGCAGGTGAGTTGTGAGTGGAAGGAGGAGCCTGCAGTCTCCTTCCTGACTGAGAGAAAGAGCAGCCCTTTTATACACAGAGACACACATACACACAGACACACGTACACAGACAGACACACGCTGAGACACACACACACACACACACACACACACACACACACATGTTCTCATCCCATGGTGTTATGTTTTTCGTCCCATACTTTCTGGCACAATACACTCTGACAAGGTGAACACTGGCTTTAGTTTAGAGACCAAGGCAGCGGACCAGGGAGGTCTGGAGGGGCCCCCTTCTGCCTTGCTCCAGCAAGAAATTCAAGCATCAACCACTTTCCTGCCCCCTTCTTCATGAGGTCAGAAACCTTAGCCCCTTGGATCAGAACCTTGAAAAGCCTGCTCTTAGCTCATAGTCTCCGAGGAAGTGGGGTAGCAGCACTGCTCCTCCTGGGACCGCCTTCCCCTGATACTTCTGAGCTTCTGGGCCCCCTTGGTCTCCCCCACTGTGTGGCCTGCCCCACCTTCCCTTCCAAGTCCTGCTGTGCTCATGGGACAGGATGCCCAGTGGTCAGGGGAACACACCACTGACCGTCAACTACCATCCTTGACACTTGATTTTCCACTGGCTCTGGAACAGACCATGCTGGGCCCAAGTCCACAGGTGCAGTGGGCAGGATCCAGGCCTTGGGGGCTGGGCCATGGCCTTACCTGCCACCTGCTTGCTACGCTGGGAGGCCTCGGAGGCCAGGGCATAGGAGATGTTGATGATGCGCTCCTGCTCCTGCAGCTGCAAGTCCAGGTCAGCCACACCGTTCCGGTCCTGGCCTGAGGTCGGCTGCAGGTTGCACATGCTGCAGGAGGGTCGGAAGCAGACCATGGGCCCTCCTGCCCTGGGCAGCAGCCTCAGGAGTGGAGGGTCTCCCTGGCCTAGAGGTTCTCAACATTTTGAGGGAGTTCAGACAAAAACTGTGGGTACTTTCTCCCTAGACAAAGGTACATGCTTTCCCCCAAACACCCAAACGATCACAGCTTTGTTCCTCTTTTGGGAAGGCCACAGACCTTAAGTTTACAGATCTAGCTGGAGGCTCTTATTAAATTCAGACATGAAATGGCTAAGCCAGCTCTGAAATGGAGGCATACAAACAAGATTAAGTTTCTGAAGCTATTGAGGCTGAGGGGATAGTCAAGTCACTTCAGAGGTCCCCAGGCCAGCATCCAGGGGAGTGGGCAATGCCTCTGGTGCCCTAGGGACAAGGCTGGCACCCTTGGCTCTGATCTGCTGGTCTGCATGAGGGTGCACAGGCCCAAATGCTGGGAGGACCATCACTGGAGCTGATCTCCAACTAGGTCCGCTTCACGCCATGCTTGGCTCCACTCTCCTCACTTGCTAGGGTCACTTGGGACACAGAATTGGAGGTGAAAGCCCAGGACAAGCAGCCTCTACAAATGTTGTAGGCCTTTCCAGATGACCTAGGCAGCTTCCTTGCTGATCTGCTGGCAATGTACCAGCCTGCCCCCTCCAATGAGTAGGGCTTACCTGAGACGAAGACTTGGCAAAACATGCATCCCAGCCAGCCTGGCCCAGGGCCCACATGGTAGAGACACCACCTGGGGTCAGGGTGACCTGCCAACACTTGAGTAAGCGAGGACTGACCTTGACCGGGCGAGGATGTTGCGGATCTTCTCGGCTTTGCGGTAACGCGCTTGCAGCTCCTCAAGGCTAGGTGGCTCTTCGGGATCTAGCTCCACGTAGCGCTCAGGGATTGACACCTTCTCTGGTTTGGACAACTGGGGAGAGGCCAGGAGGTGGCAGACGGAGACACTCAGATGTCTGGGTTTAGGACTCGCTTTTCCCATCCCCGTCCCCTCCCACCATGGGAAGCAAGCAGAGTTCACAGAGGCTAAGTAACTTGCTAAGATCACAAAATTAGTAAGTTGTGGAATCCAGGTTTGAACCTGAGTCCGACTCCAAAGCTCGTGTTCTTTCCACTCCACCAGACAGCCTCCTACAGGCTGGCGGAAGGGAAGGGCAAGATAGCTAGACTACAAGCTCTCGGGAAAATGATCATCTTTAATGCCACCGTCAAGGCCCTAAGTGACCTGACCCCTGATGACCTCTGCAGCCACTGATCAACCAGCCCCTCCAGTTCCCCGCCCACAGTGGGGCCTCTGTTCCATCTGGGAAGCTCTCCCTTTTGTTCCATTGACTCTCATCTTTTCAACCTCACTTTGAGAAGCCTTCTCTGATCCCCTCCACCCCCTCACTTTCCGTTCGCCATTGTCTCCCTCTGTCTAATGCATGGACTTAGTACTTAGTAGCCCTCCAACTAAATCTCCCTGAATGGATGGATAATGGATAAATGGATGATTGACGGGTGGGTGAACGAAAGGACGTGATGGTGCTTTCTGTCCCTAAAAAGGCTCTTCTGATCTAGACAGGAGGCAACTATGCTGAATCTACTGCTGGCCAGAGGAAGACAGCCCCAAATTCCACCTCACCAGCATCTCCCGTAGAACTAGTGGCAAACTCGGCTTGGTGAAACTTTGCTTGGACTAAGAACACTAAAGGAAGCTTTTGCATGCTCCAGGAACTTTTTCCTCCCTGAATTACAAAAGCACACTAAAATGGGGTAGGTTGAAGCTCCTAAAAACGGGCTTAACCCAATCCCAGGGCAAACCTGGTCATGGATTTAAACCCACAGGCAGCCCTTTCGCGCTGCTGGAGATGGCAAGAAATAAGCTCTTCTCTGTTACTCCAATGAGGACAGATTTAGAGGAAGGAAGTAGATTACATTGTAGCAGGAGGAATTTAGGTTAGAGATAAGGAAGAACATTTTCCCTGGACTGGCAGGCAATCAGGACACTACAGAACACACTTCCCCTGCCAAGGCAGCATGTCGGGGCTTCCTTTGTGAATCTAAGAACACAACAGACCTTTGGCTGTTTCAGATGGCAAAAGAACAAGGTCTTGAGCAGGGGACCAGCCTTGTTAACTCCTAGAGCCCCAGCAGACCCCAAAACTCAGCAACTCTATAGACACTTATCTTATCCACACGCTGTTTCTTTGTTCCCAAAGACCACAGGAACCTGTAACATATTGAGTCAGGTAGATACCATTGGCAAATCAGCTTGTGAATAGGCCTGGCGCTGCCTCTTAAGACAGCAGGAAGGCTCCAGAAGACAAGGTCCTCCTCAGTACTCACTCTCCTATCACACAGACCTGGGGAAAAGTTTTATTGAGGTCTCGCCTCGATCCATCCTTCATGTGGTGATAACATTTCCTCTTGTGCCATTTCCAGGCAGGCCAAGTCCTTGTACAAATGCTTTTGGTACATTTACGGGTCACTGTGTGATTCATTCCACACAGTCTTCATGCAGCAAAGATGTACCACGCACCCACTGTGTGCCAGGCCCTGTGCCAGGGGCTAGGGATACAAAGGTGAACCAAGCAGCCATAGACACTGCCCTGCAGAGCTTAGGAATAGCATCGACATAGGCCCCAGGAGACCATCTACGTCTTGAAGATGTTGACTGTGTCATACCCTGAGTTCCCTTTCTCTCCCCTTGGGTAGAGACATTTCTTGATGGGTAGATCCAGCAGTTACTTGCTCTCCTGGGCCTGCCCTGTCATGATGCACATAAGCCACCAGAGGGCACCAGAAGAATTCAGACCAGAACACTGCACTGTTCCCTAGCTTCTATCATGGCTGGAAATTTTCACCTGTGATTTTCAAACCTGCCCCCCATTTTCCCCTAGTCAGACTGCCCAAGTTGGCCTCACCAGCCAGTTGCAAAGCCAATCCCTGGTGTTGCAGGGAACATTTCCTAACAATAGCAACTGCTGCTCACGTGCCTACTATGTGGCTTTGATTGCTTTGGTCGCTAAACCTCCAGAGAACATGTGGAGTCACTTAATCCTCTTCACAACCCACTTCACTGTTGAGGAAACTGAGGCACAGAGAAGCTAAAATTACAATTTGCCCTAAATTAGAGAGAGATTTGAACCTTCATTGAAACGTCTGGCCTCCTTTCATTGCCTCAAGCTGCTATCCATCCATTCTCCTAGGCCACACTGAAGCTGAGCCATGTCCCTGTTCAGGGTGATACCCCACAGTGGGAAGGTGGATCAGGCTGGGAGCTTGAAGGCCATGTCTCCTGGAGGACATGAAGGAAGCGCCTGCCCTCACCTCTCTGCTGATGTCCAAGTCATAGTCTTGAGGCTCCAGGTCCAACTCAGTGACAGGCATGGCCTGCACTTTCAACCAGCCATTCTCCTCCTTGTCCTTTTTTTCCCCTTGCACGACCCGTTCCAGCAACTGCAGGTCAAAGTCCTGCTCACGCTTCCACTGGCAACAGAACAAGAGGGTTAAACGTAGTCGCTTTCTGACTGCTGAAAGGGCCCAGCTGGTCACCTTTTTCCATGGGGTTCTTTGGAAGATGAACCTGTGATCCCATTAGGGAAAAGCTGTATGTGCAATAGAGAATGAAGCCGCTGTCCCCTTCATATGGGTTGTTCCAGACTGCTAATTGCTCTCTGATCTGGGTTCCCAGAGGTTTCAAACACACACTCTCGGGGCATAGGTCTAAGACTCATGACTTCAGGCTTACAGTGGCCCCCAGGGAAACAGAAGGCTCCCAGAGAGGGTGACCTCCAAACAACTTGGGACAGAGTTCTAGAGAAGGGATTTGCCCCTTCCACTCTCTACAGCTGGTTCAGGAGACATATGCCTCAGGCTCAGAGTTAATGGAAAAACATGCCCTTCAAGGCCCTGCTAAGCAAGAGGAATAACCAAGGGTCTTTCCATTGGAAATTTTCAACAAGGTAACATTTGTAGGTGGGGGATATCGCACTCACAGCAGGGCTGGGGAGGTACAAGCAAGGGCAGCTTAGAGCCAATGAGGCAGACAAACTGCTGTGTGAGACCCATCTATTTGAGATAGATGTTTTCTTTAAATTAGAAAAAAAAACTAAATCATATAAAATTGAAATGCTAAATCAAATGGAATGTTTCTAAGTCTGTTTCATAGTATCAACTTTGTAACAAGCTTCCCAAAAGGGAAAATCTAACCCATAAGATCCAGCCACGACTGTCCAGCTCTGTGGTGGTTTCCTGTTGACCCAGGACCTGCATCCTCACAGGCCTTTGACCTCTGAGCAGGTTGTTGAGAATACAGTAGGCTCAAAATCTCTCTTCCCCTGAGCAGAACCAAAGCAGATGCTTATCTATCCCAGGTCACCTCCTCTCTCCCATCCATCCACCTCAAAGCCCCCCAAATGGTCCTGATTGTCTTTGATGCCTCCTCAAGTCCCTCCAAAACCCCAAACCCAGAGCCATATTTGCACATTTCACCCATTCATGCACAAGCTCTCAATAATAACCTCAAATCAGTGTAATCGCTCTTAGGTGACGGTTTCCAATTATTGTTGGAAAGGATTAGGCAATTGAAGTTCCAAGGATGAAAAAATCAATTTAATGATTCACAAAGAAAACACTCATTTCCTTACACGCTCACAAATGCTCCAAATAGAGATAAGTCCTCATTTAAACCCAGCCTGATTGTTTCCACAAACAGGAAAAGTTCACTAGACTCTACAAGGTATCCTGGGGAAGAACCACGCCAATCCATTATTATTAAGCAACATGTTTATTGGCGTTGATGCAGAGACTTACACAAGTCTTTTTTTTAAGAGAAAAATTACAAGGTATTCAAGTTACGAGTTTTAAATAATCTCTACATTTGAGACATCAAATTATAAAAGGTCAATGTTACCCCATATGACATTTGTTTTAAAAGTTTAAAAGTTACCAGGTTTGCAGCTTTTAAAGATATGAATGCCCTGGGTCTTACCCCTTTGGTGTCTGAGCTAACAGCTGCAGAGAGGCCCTCTGAATACACAGTATATTTTGCTATCCCTTCAAGTTATTAAATACCAGAAACACAAAAGGTTTTCCAAAAGAAATTGTGTGATTGGACTAGAGGAATTAAAACTGAACAACCTCAGTCTTGGGAGAATGTATTCAAACGTGCAGTCTCTGAAGTCCCTGTCTACCGTCCAGGTGTAAGGCATGGATTTTTATAAATTAATAATGCCCAGACCTCTGCCAATGACTGTGGCCTCGGGCAGCAGGTTGTCTCAGGCTTGTGGGGTGGCTTTTGGGACAAGTGAATTATGAGTCAGTAGGCCTGCATGAAGAGGGCAGCAGAAAGGTGAGTCACATCTGGGAACACTCAACGGGCTATGGAGACAAGAACCGCTATTACAAGCCCGGTAACAAGTAGCACAGGCCAGTTAGAGCACGTTCAATGCAAATCAGAAGCTTCTGTAAACACAATCAGGCAGGATTAGAGAGGCAACGAGCGGTAACACTAAAAGCAAAGGAGCTTGTGCAATGAATTAGGGAAAGAACAATCAGGCTAGAGGTTTAGGGAAACATGGGATTTCACACAATAGGGAAAAGTCAAATGGAACGTTTCCAAAGGGACCTAAGGTGACTGTGGACAGGGCACAACGCCAGGAAGCACCACCAGGGAGCAGCACAGGCCTCTCCAGCTCTCCCTGACACCCCTGAGGCCTCTGCACTGCAAGCCCAGGGAGACCAGTGGCCCTTGGGGCAGGGGTGTGACCCGGTGCTCCAGCGCCCTCACACAGCATCTGCTGGCAGGTGTGGGAGGCTGATCGGTTTGCTTGTGCTTCTAATCAAATCATGTCACCATCTTCCTCCTCTCCTCTCTGAACCCTGTATTCCCAGATCCTGAATTCTGCTGAGATTCTGAATGCCTGCAAAGACCCCTCTCCATCACGGCTGGGAGGACTGACTGGGTGTTTCCTCAGGCTCCTGGGCCTGTTTGATCCTCACTCTAGCTCTGGTTCAGGTCAGCCTCTAACCAGGCATTTGTCCAGCCTGTGTCGTGGACAAACAGCCCCGTGGGGTGTTCCCTCAACCATTTAGGTCAATGGACGGCTCGCTCACTGGGAGGTGTGATATGCTTGTGTTTGGGGGACTCTGAGGGGCACTTGGCTCCCTGTCCCTGCCCCACTGCCTGGCCCCTCCTAACATACTGAGCCAAGATCTCCAGGGAGTGGCCGGCTGAGGTAGCGAGATGAGGGCAGGCCCATCCTCTCCCCTTGGCCCAGTGTCCTTTTGCGCTCTCGGACCAGGGCCTTCTGGTGTCGCTTCATGCGCTCCAGCTGCTCCTCCGCACTCATCTTGCCCCGCTGGTGATCCCCTGAGTACAGGCGCTCCAAGGCACTCTTGGGTCTCTGAGGAAGAGAAGGCAGGCAAGAGAGACACAGAACGGCTGGGCTGGGCAGGCAGAGGACAGCCACCCCGCTGGCTGCATTCCCGCTGTCTCTCACACACATGCACACGCATATGCACACACATGCACACTCTAGTTGGGCTCCTCTTGGACTTAGAGAACTATTTCCTCTAAGCAACACGATGCCCCCAACCCTCAGGAGCTTTCTGAGCAGAACCCATTCTGCAGATGCAGACACTGAGGCTCAGGCCTGTCCAGTGAGGCCAGAACCCAGGGTGCAGGCTTCTTGAGCTCCCTCCTGCCACCCTGACAGGCCAGAGAGAAAGGCAGGATGCCCTCCTTGGTGGGCAGTGGGTGACAGGGAGCTCAGGAGGGGCTGAGGCCACCCCAGAGGCCATCCCCAGGGCTGACGGGATGGCCAGTTACTGTCCCCCTGGGAGACCCTCCCTCCCCATGTGAAGGAACAGGGAGGTCCTCGACAGCTCAAGGCCACTCACAGGGAAGGTCGCCTTGCTGCTTTCGGCATTGAGACCCCTCCGGAGTGTGACGTAGGGAGCAATGGTGGACGACTGCTGGAGCCTTGACATGGACCCTGACAGCCCTTCATGAGGAAAGAGAAGTGCGAGCATGTTTGTGCTGGTGTGGGTGGGTTCCCGCTTCTCCCTCATCACACATTCTTGTAGGAGGACCAAGAACACCCAGCCAATGACCCACCCTTACTTCTCTTCTTCCTTCCCAGGGCCTGGAAGAGCAAGGTCCCCAATAGAGGATGGGGGCCAGCCCAGGGGTGACCTTTGTCCCTGATGGAGGGCAGTGTCCCTGCAGATCTGTGGACCACTGCAGGCTTTCCTTACATGCAGATGACTGGGCTGCCTGGCAGGTGGAAAGACTGGAGGGGCAGGAATGCCTTTCACTCCCTGATCTATTCTTAGGCATCCTGCACAACCCAACTTGGGGTGAGGAGGAAAGTGAGGACACTCAACTGGCAAGAAGACATTTAAGGAAAGGGTTCATTGAGGGTTCATTCGAGAGACAGAAGCACTCTGGAAGGTCTGAGATGGACAAGCTGGTGGCAGCCACCCAGCAACCCAGCCTGCAGGGTGCAGTGACTCTGGAGCCAGAGCACTGGGATAGTCTTCTGGTTCCACCAATGATCAGCTAATTGGCAAGTTATTTAATTTCCCTGGGCCTTAGTTTCTGTGTCTCTAAAATGGGGATGACAGTACTTTCCTCATAGGATTGTTGTGAATATCATGTCTGTATAAAGTACTTAAACAGTGCCAGGCTTTCTAGTAACTGCTATTATCATTGTTCCTGGGGACAGATATAACAAAAGAGGAAGAGAATCATGATGTGGGCCAGAGGAAGGCAGGCCAGGTCCTCCCTCTTGGGAGCCCAGAGCCCCCTGAGAGCTGCTGCTCACTCCTAGGCCTGGAGCTGCAGACAGAAGGGTACGAGGCACCATCTGAGGGCTGGAAGCAGTGTGGTGGGATTCCCAGAGAAACTCCAGGGAGGACCCTGCCTTACCTCTGCCTGGCAGCGTCTGGTACCTGCTCTCAGGGCCCACAAGTCCCAGGGAGGGCTGGGCCATGTCCCCGCTGAGGGTCGCCAGCTCAGGCTCACTGACATACGACCGCAGCTCCACCTGTGGGCAGAGACCCAGGTGATGTGACCTGCCAGTGTCATACCCCCTTCCCTTTCCCCACATGCAGAGTGGCAGTCCCAGGGTCCCCTGCTCACCCTGGAGTCCCCGTTCACACACTGCCCCAGCTCCCGGTCTCGCTTCCTCTCATCTGACTGCCGCTTGAGGCCCCGCACAGACGTGTGCCGGATGATGGTGGCCTCTCTCGGCAGAGGCGGCACGGCCGGGGGCTGGTCCTCTGGGCTGTAGAGTTCGGGGAGTGGGGGCCTGGGAGGGGCTTCATCTTCCTGCTGAGAAAGAGAACCAGACCAGTGGTCAGTGAGACAGAGCTGGAGGGAGGACTGCTGGGTACTGCCACAGTGGAGGTTTAAAGGGCAGGAATAGGCCACATCAGAGCCACAGAACATGGCTGCCTCAGCCAAGGAGCACTCACACTTCCCCAGGAGGAGCAGTGAAGAAGGGACATGCCTCTGCTCCTCTATCCCCTCAGATGTATACAGTTTCTATTCTGCAAAGTGTTACCTGTATAACTGTCCCAAAACCCAGGACTCAAGTCTCCCGGGTCCATCCCGTGGTGCTGTGCCAAACTGCTCCCTCCGCTCACCTGGAGTGCACATTGCAGGCAGGCTGCTAACCCTGCCCTGACTTCCATGCTTATGACAGCACCACCCACCTGGAGAATAACATCTACTCACTCAGCTTAGCCTGAGCTGGCTCACTGGCCCTGCATAAGCTCTGGCTCCTTCAGCAGGGTGGGGACCTGAACAAGGACAGAGTCTACATCCTCCTGGCCTATCAGAAATGTGCATGGTTACAAAATATTTCCTCCTTCCTGACTCAGAACAGGCGGTCAGCATGAGTGACTCACTGCCTACCATGCAGCTGATTCCCTAGAATGTGATGAATGCAACCATTTTCCTTGAAACTCCCTGTCCACAATGCTCTGTGAGGGCTGTGGTTCCTCTACATATTGACAGACCGGCCCCTGGTTGCCATGAATACCCACTCGCAGGACTAATGACCATCACGCCTTCCACCTCCTAAATTCCCTCTTTCTCAGTCTAATTTGGTTTTAAGAATTTTGCAGAGTTCAGGAAAGGGCACTCCAAGCTCTTGGAAACTTCAGGAAAGAGCACTCCAAAGCAAAGGCTTATCAACAATCTTCTAAAGCAATATGCTTCGCTGATGTGGGAAAGTTAAGCAATCTGCCTAAGATACCCACTGGTTCTCCAAGGATCCACAGTTTCTAATCCTGACAAGACATATGAATCACCAATTTCTAAAAAGCTCCCCAGAAAGATAAACATAAAACATCGATTGCCTTTGATTGAATGGAATGTCTGGAGGCAGAGGGTGGGAAGGAGACATGTTATTATGTACTTTTTTATATCTTTTGCTTTTGTATCCTTTGAGAATATCATCTAATTTATTTTTTAAAAAACATTAAACTCAAGAAAGTAAGTCAAATAAAAATAAAAGAACTATAGCCACATGCAACAATGTATATAAATCTCACAAACATAATGTTGAAGAAAAGATGCAAGATACAAAAGAGTATAGAATTATACACCAGCATAATCACAGTGTTTAGGAAAGTCAGCACAGGTACTAAAACTGAAAAAAAAAAAAGGGGGGGGGATTATTATCCAAAAAGTCAAGATCGTTGTTATTTCTGGCAGACAGGAAGCAGCCTGACCTGGGAAAGAACCCAGAGGCTTCTGGCTGCTGGCAGTGTTCTATTTCTTAGTCCAGCTGTTGGTATAAAACAGGTGGTCTCTTTATTGTTATTCATTAAATTATATAGTCCTGTTTTATGTCATTTTCAGGATGGGTATTATTGTTTCACAAATATAAATGGGTTTTGTTTTGAGACAGGGTCTTGCTGTATTGCCCAGGCTGGAGTGCAGCTGTGTGATCGCAGGTCACTGCAGCCTCAGACTCCTGGACTCAAATGATCCTCCTGCCTTAGCCTTCCCAGTAGCTGGGACTACAGTCACGTACCACCACGCCCATCTTAGAAGTGTTAAAAACAAGCAAGTAATAAAACAAATGGTAAAACTGGCAAACACACATATATTCCTAGGAGAGAGGACCTCTCCTGGTGATCCTGATGCTCACCCAAGCTGAGAAAGCCCTGCCTGAGCGCCACAGATGACCAAGCTGAGGAGGAGCCTCTGTGACCATCTACAAAAGGGAAAGTGAGGAAGCTCAGAGAAGGGACGGACTTGCCTGAGGACACACAGAGAGAATCAGTCCTGGAATCTGGATGTCCCAGCTCCTATGCCAGCGCCTTTTCCCCTATTCCCTGTCCCAGCTGGCAGCATCGCGCCCTATGTCGGCAGCCATCTGCCCCAGACATTCCTGCTATTTGTTTTGGTATTTTCCCTGTCCTGTTTTAGGGCAAGAGCTCCAGTCCACCTCTCGGATCTAGGATTGGGAAGACCTCAAGATGTTGAAATCCACAGTGACTCTCTGGCTGGGTGGTGGGCCATACCCTGAGTGCAGCTGTGGGCCCTGGGCTATGGCTGGAAGCAGGTAGATGGTGAGGACCAGGATAGTAGAACTCATATGTTTTACCCAGCACTGTGCACTGACCTCACCAGAGGTCCAGGGACACACGATGCCCAGGTGAATTTCCTCCAAGCCTTTGTTGGCAAGAATCTGGAGGGCCCCATTCTGAGGTCCACTCTGCTATAGATTCCCTGCACTGGGACTAGCCTCCTTGTGTTCTCCAGCCAAGGCTGGCCTGGCCCTGGAGGCGTGAGCTCTCTTGAGACCTGACCACATCTCCTATTTCTTTAAAGTCTCCTGCATTCCCAGACTCTGCCAAGAGCTTGGCCTCTTTCTATGCCAGGCAAACCAAGGTGCTGGCCCAGTCAGCCACAGAGGCCGCAGACCAGATCTGGGACTAAAGGCCCAATTAGATGGCAGATGGCACAGAATAAAAGAGAAGGGCCAGGAGGTGTGATTGGATTCACTAGTTAGAATGGAGACATTGAGCAAATGTCAACAGTTTAGGCTCTTAGTTTTCTTCTCCGTGGAATGGGGACACTGCTCTTGCTGTGTACACTCTGTGAGGTTATTTTAAAGATCAAAGCATCCTCACAACCCAGCCCAGTGCTCAGCAGCAGGTGAAGGGAAGGACATTTTTCCACTGGACTGAGCTCACGGCCCACAGGCTGTGTAACTGCAGGAGACACCCCGAGGATCTGCACAGAGGTTTGCATGGGGACAGCCTCACCCACAGCCACACACCTCTCTGCAGATCACAAACCCCATCCTACTCAGCACAGTCACTTCCTCTTGGTGGGCCTCAGTTCTCCCAACTGCAAAATGGGAGAGTTGGGTTAGATCATCTTCCAGGGATCTTCCAGTTCTAAGGCACAATAGCAGGGAAATACTACTCTTTAACTGCTTGTGACTAAGGACTCCTTTAGGACACTGGCTGGGTCCATTTCCCCAAGTTTTCCCAGGAGTTTCTCTCCCAGGAGAAAGTAATCTGAGGACAAAGAGGAAACAATGGCATTCAGCTCCTAGTCATCACTACTTACAACTTTGGGCTTCGTCTTAGTTGGTGACTGAAGGGGGGATGTCACTTTCCTCAGCTGGGGTGGGTGAGGTCGGTACGGCACGTAGGTTTGCAGCTGGGGGAAGAGTCGAACCTCCAGAGGGGTCCGCACAGGGCTGGTGGGAGGACTGGGCTGTGGGGGCGGCTTGCTCTCAGAAGTTGAGAGTGAAGGCACAGGCGGGTGAGGAAACAAAGGCACCGTTTTTCTCTCTAAGGGGCATAGAAGGAAACAAAGCACGGGATGGAACAAAGACCCCCTTCCTTGGAGGATGAGTGAAGTGATTTAGCACCTCGAAGACCCAACCTCCCCAAGAGCCATCCCACCCACCTGGCTCCCAGCCTTCCACCCTCCCACCACCCCCGCCCTCACCCAGATCCCCCACACCCAGGAAGATGAACAGCTCACCCGGATTTTTGACGGACTCCACTAGAATTCTGAAGTTCTCTTTATTTGCACTCAGGCCTGCAGTGACATCTTCAATTCTCCATAGATCTTTCTGTATCTGCGATTTCTCCTGAGGAAGACAAAGTGGTGGGTTTTCCTTCTTAGCTCCTTACAAGTTTCTTCTTAGGACTTATCCTACCATTTCAGACAGAGCCCCCTGCCCTGGGGGGCAGCATCCCCTCTGGAAACCCCACTAGTGCTAGAGCCAAGCCTGTTTCATAGCTTTCTAGGGAAGCATAGACATGGAAAATGCCCAAGATCCAGGGAGAAATTTCAGAGTAGCTTTCAGCAGTCCAGCTTGCCTAATTTAAAAATAGACTGCCGTAAACACTGTGCCATTCCACTAAAATACTGTATGACACACTTAGAGTAGTCAATTTCATAGAGACAGGAAGTATAACAGTGGTTGCTGGGGGCGGGGGAGAGGGAAGAATGGAGAACTATTTAATGTGTACAAAGTTTCAGTTATACAAGATAAAAAGTTCTGGAGATTGGGCGCACAAAAATGTGAATGTACTTTACACCACTGAACTGTATACTTAAAAATAATTAAGATGGGTGGGGCGCAATGGCTCTTGTCTGTTATCACCGCACTTTGGGAGGCCAAGGAGGTGAACACTTGAGGCCAGGAGTTTGAGACTAGCCTGGCCAACATGTGAAACCCCATCTCTACTATAAATACAAAAATTAGCCAGGCATGGTGGCGTGCGCCTGTAATCCCAGCTACTTGGGAGGCTGAGGCACAAGAATCACTTGAACCCGGGAGGCAGAGGTTGCAGTGAGCCGAGATCATACCACTGCACTCCAGCCTGGGCAAAAGACCTTTCTCAACATCATCATCATCATCATCATCATCATCATCATCATCATAAATATGGTAAATTTATGTTCTGTGTATTTTACCACAATTTTTTTCTTTTTTTTTTTTTTTTGAGATGGAGTTTCACTCCTGTTGCCCAGGCACTGCAATGGTGCCATCTCGGCTCACTGCAACCTCCGCCTACCAGGTTCAAGCGATTCTCCTGCCTCAGTCTCCCAGGCAGCTGGGATTACAGGCACCCACCACCACACCCGGCTAATTTTTGTATTTTTAGTAGAGACGGGATTTCACCACATTGGCCAGCTGGTCTTGAACTCCTGACCTCAGGTGATCTGCCCACCTCGGCCTCCCAAAGTACTGGGATTACAGGCGTGAGCCACCACACCTGGCCTTTACCACAATTTTTTAAAAGGCACTGTCTTATGTAATCATGGCAGAAGGGAAGGAAGGACTAGAGTTTACACCATCTCTAGGATACAAAAAACATTTTTTTAGAAGTCAGAGCTGAACCCGAGATTTGAGGTTTAGTTAAAAATACAGTAGTGAATGGAATATTAGTTGGCAATAAAAAGAAATGAAGTACTGATGCATGCTACAAGGATGATCCTTGAAAACATGCGAGGGAAAGAAGCCAGTCACACAAAGCTACACATTATATGATTCCATTTATAAGAAATGTCCAGACTAGTCAAATCAGTAGAAACAGGAAGTAGATTAGTGTTTGGCTACGGCAGAGGGGACATTGGGGAAATGGGAGTGATTGTTAATGGATACAGGATTTCTGTTGGGGGATGATGAAGTGTTACAAAATTGATTATGGTGATGGCTGTATCATGCTATGAATATACTAAAAACCACTGAAATGTATACTTTAGAAGAGTGAATTTATTTATTTATTTTTTGGAGACAGCGTCACTTTGTTGCCCAGGTTGAAGTGCAGTGGTGTGATCAAGGTCACTGTAACCTCAAACTCCTGGGCGCAAGTGATCTTCCCGCTTTGGCCTCCCAAGTAGCTAGGAGTACCAGAGCATGCCACCAAGCCTGGCTGGTTTTTCTTTTTCTTTTTCAGTTTTTGTAGAGACAGAGGTCTTGTTATGTTGCCCGGGATGGTCTTGAACTCCTGGCTCCAAGTGATCCTCCTGCCTTGGCCTCCTAAAGTGCTGGGATTATAGGCATAAGCCACCATGACCAGCCAAAAGGGTTAATTTTATGACATGTGAAATATATGATAAAGCTGTTAATTTTTTTAACACAATAAGAGTACAATTTTTATATATCAATTTAAAAAAATAATAAACTCCAAAAAATACATATCTATATACAATGGGGAAGGACCTAGGCTACATGATCATGTGCATTCTGACAAGCAACAACCAAAATCGAATGGGAAGAGGATCTAAAAGAGGTACGGAGGGGTCTGATGTGGTTAAGGGACTATGGCTATCTCTTGACGGGGTTGTTTAAACATCCAATGTCGTATTCTCTTGACTTTTAAGTTAACATGGGGGGAAGATAGCCTTGGTCCCACCCCATGGACTCACCCCATCTCCTCTCAAGGCACCTAGCTACCCCTCAACTGGAAGAGTTCTCACACTGCATGAGTCTCATGGACCTGCCCGATACTGCTTGTTGATTCATCCCTACAGGGCCCGGCACTTAGCGGGTTCTCAGTGCATCCATGCTGCATGAATAAAGGACCAGTCATGTAAAATTCCCTGAGCAAATACTTTCCAACAGCCATGACAACAGATGTCCAAAGCCTCCTGTCCCAAGGGGGCTCACAGTTCTCACTCTCTCTCTCTCAACACTCCAACATAAAGCACATCCTCAGGTCTGGCAAGCAAATAATGGGCTTGATTCTCAGCTGCATGCCAAAGCATGAGCACCCTAAAACAGGTATATCACTGAGCCCAGGGCATGTGTAGGTAAGAGGATGACCTCTAGGGCTGAAGTCCCCAAGCTGAGTGTTGGGAACAGGTAAAGAAAGGGATTAAACACAGTCCTCTTCCTCCTCCATAGCTCCCTGGCAAAGCTCCCCTGTCAGCCACTCTCTTGCCCCGCTGATGCCTTTCTGTCACCCCCACATGTGAGAAAAGAACAGACAGCAGAGAATAAAAAAGGCTGCAGAGTCCCTATCCTTCTCCAAGGGTGATGGAATTTTGGGCCTTCATAATGAGGGGAGGGGAATTTTGGGGGAAATGAGGTGGTGGATTTTCATTCCTGCCTCCTCCCACCATACTGGGTAGAAAGGCTCCTATGTGCTGCTTTCAGTAAAGCCTTGAACTCACTGATTTAGTCTTGACTGAAAAGGGTATTTTCCTGGAGCCAACCTGATTACAGGGAGGCGAATTTCTAAGCCCTGTTACTGAGAATCCGCATATGGGGTTGCAAGCGCATCTGCAGTGCTGATGATTTATCTAGGGCTCTAACAGCCTGCCCGCCCTAGAATGACACCAAAGAAGCTAGCACAGTGTCTGCTCAAAGCAGGGCTTTGTTAGCTTCCCAGGTCACTGTGCACTTAGGAAAAGTGTGAGCAGTGCCGCAGGCAAGGTGGAAATCAAGCTGCAGGCTCCAGGCTGGCCTATCTGAGAGTAACTTATGGGGCTGAGTTCTCCAGGGCATCTGTGACAAAGACCTGTCATAGTGTATCTATTTGCTTTTTGGAGGGAAGGGGGAAAAAAAGGATTCTAGGCCTGCTATACGTTAAATCGCCATGACATAAGGCACAGTAGAGACACAAATGGCCAATAATCCTACGAATAGACATTTAACCTGCTAATAACTAAATAAATGCAAATTAAAATGAGATGCCATTTAGTAGACTAGTAAAACTAAGAAGATTGATTACAAGTGCTGACAAGGATGTGAGCAAATAGGTCCAGTACTTTCATTTGCTGTGGGTAGGAAGGTAAAAAGGTGCAGCCCTTTAGAAGGTGGTTTGGCGTATCCATCCACTTTTAAGATGTATACTCATTTCAACCCCAGCAAGTCCACTCCTAGGAGCCTATATTACACAGATACTTGTAAACAAGTGTGAAAAGGCAGTTACACGAATCCTCATTACACCACCATTTATAAAAGCAAAACACTGAAAATAATTAAATGCTATCAGAAAATGAATGGCTAAATAAAGTAGAAAACACCCAGACTATGAAATAGTATGTAACAGTCAAGATGAACAAATTTAATATCCTTAGACTGGCACTGCCCAATACACCTTTCTGAGATGATAGAAATCTATCATCTTTGCTGTCCAAGACAGTAGCCAATAGCTACATGTGGGTACGAAGCACTTAAATGGGTCTGGTGTAAATGAGGAATCTATTTTGAATTTCAGTTACTTTTAATTAATTTATATTTTATTGGGCAGCATAAATTTGGGGTTAACTTTCCTGCAAAGATTTCCATGATACCAGGTTATGACAAAAAAAAAGTGAGTTGCCAAATAATGTGTAAGCGTGATCCTCTTCAAGTAAGCCTTTTACCTGCTCCCATCCCTGAATAAATCATATGATTCTATGCATGTGCATATTTTTGAAAATGCATAGAAAATGGTCTAGAAGGCAACGCCACCAACGGACACCACTGATTTCACATAGGGAGGGTAATGGGAGGGGCAGAAAGGGGGAGGGGGAAGAGGAACTTTTATATCATTTTTTTGTTTTTGCTTCTTACTGTTTTGGCCTTTTCAAAGACACGTATTCATTTGTCATTTGTGTAATTACAGAAACAAAGAATGAAAAGCTTAAAAAAATTACTACTAAAAATAAAGCAGAAAAAAATTACTGCTAAAAAAATCCAGATCACTGAAGCCCAAGAAAATAGGTATACCTGGGCAGACAGTTTTATAAACTCATAACCAGAAGTAACTGAAGGACTTTGTCAACAATATTCACCTAGTATTTTCAAGTCATTACGGTAAATGCTGGGGCTACAAAAAAGAATAGTGAAGTGTTAGCCAGAGTGGATGAAGAGAAATTATGGGAGGCAAACAACCCTACCAGCAGCAGGAGATAGACAAGTGCTGGGGAGAGTCTGTAGGCCAGCCCTGAGCCACAGGCGAGGGTCTCCTCCACATGCTCATAGGCAGGGCTCTCTAGGAACCATCTCTGCATGAACAGAGGGACAGCAAGGCCCTGGGAAAAGCCTCAGGGTCCACACACCTACAACCCCTCCAAAATTTCCTTCAACTTTCTGGGGTGAGGCTAATGTCTGGAGAGTCAATATATTCATTAAATCACTTAAATGAAGAGCCTTGGTTAGAACTAGCTCATCAATTAGCAAGCCCAGCACCAAAAGTGGCCCAGCATGGTGCCTCACACACAAGAAGCCTCAATTAATGCTTGCTGAATTCAAACACACTTATTATCTCAGGGTCCTGAAAGGAGAAGATATAGATCTTAAGTCAGGTGAGAAAAAAACAGGTTATTTTCCACTTAAAAAATTGTGAGGGTGGGGTGGAAACCTGGTTAAGCACCACAGTGGGGGAACACTGGGCAATTTGGAACCCAATTTGGAAGAAGAAAAACCACACAGGGTCTTTCACTGTCTCACTTCTGGGGGACAGAAGCAGCTATCAATAGGGTGGCCTGATTTTTTAAGGGTAAAGAGGCAGGGCTCTAAGGCCAGCTTTCCTGAGTGGTACGGGGTCACAGAGATGGGTATCACCCAGCCTCGCCTCCAGAAATGCAGATGACTGCCTCAAAACCAGAGAGCCTCAAAGGTCAGAATTCACACTGTCTCCCTCAGGTAGAGGTGTGATAACATCTATCTCCAGGAATCAGAGGAGGGAAGGGATGGCCACTTCCTGCTGCTGTCTAAGCGATGAGCTAGCAGCCTAAGATGGGGTCAAGAACCACAGGAACACGGATCACTCTGTGATCACTGATGACCCCAAATGATCAGAGGTAAAGCCCTTTCTAAAACACCCAAGAGTTTGTCTTTGAGAGCACCAAGGCAAGGGGAAGAGGGTGAGTCTTCTCCTCACAGCCTGGCTTGGGGAAGTGATCCTCAAGGGAGAGTTTGGGGTGGCTCCTTTACAGAGGTGGAGCATCTGGGGCCAAGGGGGAGAAGGACTCTGAGCAGTGCTCACAGCCCCCACAGGTGAAAGCTCTTGGAAAAACAAAAAAACAAGAGCTCAGAAGGGATGGACAGGTATCAGATCACCTGGAAAAAAAAGGCTCTTCTGTGTTGCTCCTGCAGGGTCTGCTTCAGCTGTTCCACATCATTCTCCAACTTCAGGTATTCGTTCCAAGCATTTTCCATCTCCTGTTGGCCAAGAAAATGCTTCCAGTTCTCAGTTATCCCCTGCCCCGTTGGAAGGCCTCATGAACACCTGTACTCCTGACCATGCAGACCCAGCCAGGGGAAGAGGGAAGGAGACCGAGACCGGGCAGGCCTCAGGCAGGCCTGGTGGGAGAGAGGGAGGAGCAGGAAAGAGCGTGGCATCCTCTCATTTGTGCTCTGACCCTGGCCACCTGCACTGTTCCCTCCTCCACCCTCAGGATGCTTTGATTCTCAGTCCTGGCCTGTACCACAACAGACCGAAAAGTGAAAAAGCAGAGATTCTGACAACTTGGGATTAACTGCACACAGATCAGGGGAACAGTCTGCAGGCAGCTCTGAGAATCTGGCCCACTGGGTGTCACTGGCCTTCAAAAGTCACTGTGGTAAGCAGCCTAAGGCACACATGCAGGCAGACATGTCACCCCCAGCAGACAAGGTCATCTACTGTCAGGCGGCAGTTCTGCTACTGGAGAAGCTCTGCTATTTCAGGACTCTTGCCTCTGGACACCAACTCAACTACATCTGGGAGGTGAGAAAAGCAGCCCCTCGCTCAGCTCATCCTGAGGGAGACAGGTGTGCCACCCTCTACGCACAGTGGACTCTCTGGAGAGCTCAGCTCGGATGTGGACGAGGTCCTCCTGCAGCAACTTCTGCTGGTAGGCAATCTTCTCCAAGTGCTGGGGCTGGTCTCGGTACTGTTCCATCTGTCTGTGCAACACCTCCAGCACAGATTCTAGCTGGTCCTGTACCAGGAAGGGCCAAAAAGCAGCAGGATAGGAGGATAGTCCCCAGAGGCCTCCCCATACCACACGAGGAACCAAAACTACTAGACCTAACCAAGGCTGAAGGGACCAGCGCTGAGATATGGGCCAACAGTTGGGGCTCTGATGCCAGCTCTGACTCTGTCTAGGGGGTAGGCTGGGGAAAGTACCTAACAGCTCTGTGCCTCAATTTCATCATCTATAAACTAGGAATACAGCTGTCTAACTCCTTATGGGATAAACTAAGAGGATAAATCAAAGAATTTTAAAAAAAAAATCCTCTCTAGCCTCCTAGGGAAAAGAGTATATTATCAACCTTCAGTATCACAAATTTAAAATGCAAAAGGAAAATATTACTTTAAGAATAGAAAAGGCCAACGTTGGTGGCCCCTGGCCCATTCCTGCACTCCCATCCAGACTTGCTGCCTCCACAGCCCAGATCCTAGGAGACAAGGAGCTTTAGGAAGCAAAGGCATCTGCCCTGTAATGACTGCAGCCACTTCCTCCAAAGGAACCCTGCTTCCTGGGGGTTCAGGGACCGGGGGTCATCACATATAAGCCTTTTTTTTTTTATTTTCCTGAGACGAAGTCTTCCTCTGTCACCTAGGCTGGAATACAGTGGCACGATCTCGGCTCACTGCAACCTCTGCCTCCCGGGTTCAAGCAATTCTGCCTCAGCCTTCTGAGTAGCTGGGATTACAGACGCCCACCACCACGCCCAGCTAATTTTTGTATTTTTAGTAGAGACAGGGTTTCACCATGTTTGTCAGGCTGGTCTCGAACTCCTAACCTCGTGATCCACTTGCCTTGGCCTTCCAAAGTGCTGAGATTACAGACATAAGCCGCCGCACCCAGTGCATTTTTTTTTTTTTTAAATAAGCTAACATTTGTTGTTCAGTACTAACATGAGGGTCCAGCCTATGTCTCAAGAAAGACGGGACAAAAAGCCCCTCTGCCCATTCCAAGATTATTCAAAACTGACACATACTTTGTTCTCTTTAAGGGCTCGTATCTTGTCTTCCAAGTCCTGGAGGATCCTGTCCTGTTCGCAGAAGATGCTCAGTTTGACCTAAAAGCAAGAACAGGTAGAAAGGGCCTGGAGTGATGAGAAAAAGACATGACCTTGGGATTGCGATCAGACAGCCTTTGGCTACAGAATCATCCAAGCCCTGCCTGAAGCTGTTCACCCTGGGTCGGCGTCAGGAGGCAGATGAGGGGTCAGCGTGTCACGCTGTTCACTCACGTCAATGTCGCTCTCAGCGATCTTCACAGGCTTCAGACTTCGATCCTTGAGAAGGTCCCGGCCTGTCATCTGGGAGGCGAACAATTTAAAAGAGATTTAACCATGGTGTTTGAGATCAGAACTTGGGAAAGAAAATTCATCCTACAATGGATGGTGTGGAAGTCCTTGGCAGTGGCAAGTAGGTCATAGCATGAGAGGGGCAAAAACTTGGGCTATACTATGCCTATTTCATTTTAGGAAAAAAACAAAACCTTTTCATGATTCTAGTAACGCTGGTAAGTCCTTTGAGTTAAAGAAAATGTAGACATTAAAGTTACAGGACCATCAATTTTAAAAGTATACATTTGCCTAAAATGAATGTCAAAAATTAGCATGAATCTTGGGAGATTTGCCACCGATCAGACAGAGGTGTGCTACTGAACCTGGGAACAAACACGAGTTATGAAGCCCATTACTCCCTGCCCAGGGTGGTGAGATGGGCAGACCCAGAGGAACAAACAAATCCCTTGACCGTTGTCAAGCCTTAGCTTAAGGAAGTCTCTGAGCAGCCCACTTCCCCATGGGTAAGGCCAGCCTTCCTCGCCCTTTACCATTTGGGAAGAAGACCTGGCCAAGGTAAAAAGGAACCTGGCTAGTTCCCAGCAGGGGTTTTTAATTGTTCCCTGCATAACTGAGGCTAGGCTGTACTTGTATAAGTTACAAGAAAGGAAACCATAAAGCAATACACAAAAGTCACCCAAACTTGTGGGCCAATGGGATTTTACATTTCCCATCCCTCACTTGACTCAAGGTAGGCAATATGCCGACTGTCTCTCACTGACTCCTGAGACTCTAAATCTAACTTATCCCATTTTTCCATTTCCCCCAATTTTGTTTCTTGACAAAAGTCATGCAGGGGTTGAGGGGAGTGACTTTCACAGATGTACTTTCCCATGGCCAAGACAAGGCCAGGGAGAACCAAGTCTACTGTGCCTGATGTAGGGGAAGCCAGATCTCTATTTTGCAGATCTGACCAGGGAAATGGAGGGTGGAGCTAACAGTGGCAGAGATAGGCGCTGTGTGTGCACTATGCAGAGAGGTCCCAGTGTGGACAGATAGCTGCTGGAGAGAGGGGTATAGATTTCTCCCCATTCTATCTGTAAGGTCCAGGAAGTTTCAGTGTGAATTGGGGGTGGAAATAAATTGGCAAACATTCCACTCAGTGCTCAAGCCCTTCATGTGCCCAACTGTTCTATGCTACCTCTCCCTGCAAACTGTCATGAGCAAATCCAAAGGTCAAGGGAGAGGACCTCTCCCTGCCTTGGGGTGAGGACTGATTCTGGGCTACACGCCTGACCCACCCATTCCCATGATCCCTTTGGTCACACAGAAGAGGGCGGAACCATTGTTTTATGTATCTTGGTAAAGTCAGCCCTGAACAGAAGACCTGGCACAAACTCAGCAAACGCTTATTGAATTGCATGTAGGTCAAAGGGAAACACATGTAGGTCACTGTTGTTGAGTTCCTGAAAAAAATAGAACTCCAGCCAAATTCTGCTCTTCAGACTGTCAGATTATGTGTACATACTTGTATATACACAGTTGCAGAACACAAGACTGCAACGATCCACAAACAAACAGACTGTGCTGTCTCCTGCAATGGGAGGGCGGTGCAGGGGGTGGGCATGAAATTAATCCTGGTGAATCACAAACAGCTGAACTTCTCAGGCAGCATGTGGGTTTTAAACTCAGGGGAACCCAGGAGAAAAAGCAGGTGAAAGCAGTGAAGTCTTCACTCTATGTCATCGTCCTTTCATCAAAGCCAAGGACAAGGAGGTTGTCTATTCTCCAAAGGGACTGACCTTTGGGGCTCATTTCCTAGGTAGAAATCATTTTCAAATGGAGATACACTCTGAGGATTCTTCCCCCCTAGCAAAACTCTTCCTCTTATTTCACTGAAGCTTTTTACAGAGAATGTCTTTTTGATACTTAAATAACAAGGCAGAAAATCTAATTGAGCAATGCCTCATTTATCCAGCACCATCAGGAAAAGAACGAGATATTTTATATAAAAAGGGCATTTTGAGGAGCTGAATCTTCTAAATTATACTTTTTGATGGAAAGTTTTCTAAAAGTACGCCCTTTGCTGCCTTTGTGGAATACTGAATATACATTCAACCTTTTCTTTCTCCCTCTCAGGATATTAGTACTACCTCTTTTTCCAAGAAGTAGATTTCTCTTGTCCCTTTTTAAAGTGCTGCTTATCTGGCCGGGCACGGTGGCTCAAGCCTGTAATCCCAGCACTGTGGGAGTCCAAGGCGGGAGAATCATGAGGTCCGGAGTTCAAGACCAGTCTGGCCAACATGGTGAAACCCCATCTCTACTAAAAATACAAAAATTAACCAGGTGCAGTGCCACGCGCCTGTAGTCCTAGCTACTTGGGAGGTTGAGGCAGGAGAATCTCTTGAACCAGGGAAGCAGAGGTTGTGGTGAGCTGAGGTTGTGCCACCGCACTCCAGCCTGGGTGACAGAGTGAGACTCCGTGTCAAAAAAAAAAAAAATGCTGCTTACTAGATGTTGTGGGTTAGGAATTCAAAGGACTATAAGCTCAACTGAGACGAGGTACTTACATCTCTTCTCTCCCTTTAACTGGGGGTGGTGCTCTTCAGGGTGCTCTTTCCATACGTTGCATCTGCTGCTACTACAGCACCCAGCACATTAGAGTGCAAAGTTCTGTTTGCTCATTTGTTTCTTCTCACCAGAGAGTAACCTAATTAGGGGTGACTGTGGAGATGGATGCCTTTCCTCTGTATCCTCAAAGCCCAGCCAGGGCCTAGCATATTGAGGAAATTCGGGCAATGTTTGCTCAGTGAGTTCATGAATGTGTCAAAGTAATGTGAGCTGGCTCTGTCTCCTATGGACGGAAGGTCACAGGCTTTAGAGCATGGGCTTAATGAGAGCTGTTTCTACAGCTCAGAGGACCGTTAAGCTTCTGAATGTAGCTCTGCTCCAGAGAGCCGAGGCTACTAAGAAATATTATATCCACGTGTACTGTATTACATCTAATTTTCCTTTTAAAAGTGTGTTTGTTGCAGCCATGTCCAAATACACTTAAAACATCAACTCTGGGTCCCCCCAGCATCTCTGTCATCAGAAAAAGTAAAAGTCTGTGGGTGCTCATCCATTTGAAAGAGTCTCTCCATCAGACAGGAATCAAAGCCACCCAGGCATCTTCCCTCCCCTCCACCACATCCCAACCCACTTTCTCAGGGCTCAGGATGGTTGGACACAACACCTGCTTCCTGATCTGCATCCTCCCCTGGAATGCTGTAAGAGCTGGTCACATTGCAGTCCCTACTTCTGCATCAATCAAAGAGGGTATGGGCAGGGGGTAGCATTTTATTCTAGTCCAGCTCCAGGCTGTTATCCAAATGCCAACTCCCTGCCCCCAAAAGGTGCCACCTTAATTTCAGGGCCACTGTGGAATCTGAGGATACCCTGGCTCTTGGAAGATGACCAATAACTGCTGTTCCCTCCCAAGAAACTCATGCTTAACTCTGTCTGGGTGAGCCCTCGCCGTGGAGGCAGACACATGATGATGGAAACACAACACAAGCTGGTGGCAAGCCAGGCAAGCTCCCCCACCCTTGGCAGCACAAAACATGGAGTCACAGAAAACCACAGATGAGAGGCTCAGCCTGGTGCATCAGTCAAAATGCTGAAGAGAGCTTCAGTTGAAAGAAAATAAAGCAAAATGACTTGCGGGAAGCCTGGGGCGGTCAGGAGAGCAACTGGTTAAGCAAGTGATGAAGTCGGCACCGAGCCAGAAGCAATGGAATGACCCCGCTTGGAGACACGGATCAGATCATCTTACGCTTCTCCTGGGCCGACAGCCCCGTGCTGACTTCTTCAGCACTTTGTAAAGCACGTTGATCAAAGGTTCATTATTTTTAATCTGTTCCAAACAAAAAGGCAAATACAACAAAACGTAACAGGTGAGACATCAAATGACACTTGAAGCAGCCAGAATTTGGGGAACTGGCAAAGGGACAACTTTAAGGATGCTGTGTGCTGTGCAATTCAAACAACCAGGTCTGAATCTTGGTGATGCTACTTCTATGGGACCGTGGATGCTACCTGCATGGGCCACGGGACCTTCCCAGACTGCAGCTCTCTCCTTTTTATAAAATGTTATATGCTATCTGAAGGGACCTTTGCACAGGCTGGTTTATGTGGGAGTGCCGATTTCAGTGTTCATTTCCTTCCTGGTTCTGCTGGAGAAGGCAAGGAGGAACATCATAGAAGGGAACTTGTTTCTTCTTTTGTCCTCCCTCATCACATTCTGTAAGATACTAGTTTAGAGTCGTGCCAAGCATTCATCTCACCCCCACCCAACCTTAAGTTCCACCAGAACTGTGATGCATCTACATGATTATGTCTTACCCATGGTCCCAAATGCTTACAGCTCCTTTTTGGGAACACTGTCCTCATTATCTAGAACAGCAGGAATCACTGCAGGGGGCTTTAAAAAATACCGATGCCTGAGTTCCACCCCAAGAGATTCCAATATAATTGGTCTGGGATGGGGCCTGGGCATTGGGATTCTTAAACACTCTCCTGGGTGATTCTAATGTGCAGCCAGGATTGAGAATCACTGCCCTAAAACAGGGGTTCTCAAACTTAAGCGTGCATCAGAATCAGCTGGAGGGCAAATACACAGATTTTCTGGGCCCCATCCCTGGAGGTTCTTGTGGTGCAGATCTGGGGTGGGACCCAAGATTCTACATTTTTAATGAATTCCCAGATATTGTTGACACTTTTGGTCTGAGGATCCCATGTTGAGAGCCACTACTTCAAAACAGTGTTTCTCGATACTGGATGTGCATTAGAAACACCTAAGGAGTTTTTTTGTTTTAATTAAAGAGTAATACCTGAATATTACCAATTAAATCACAGTCCCTCAGGGGTAGGACCCAGACATTTATATTCATTTTAAAAACTCCCCAACAGTTCTCATTCATAGCCAGGGTTAGTAATTTCTTCTCCAGAACAATAGACCTCAAACCCTAGTGTGCACAAGAATCACCCCAGAGCTTGATAAAAATGCAGAATTCTGGGCAGCAGAGTGTCCAATTCGAGAGAACCCTCCAGGTCTATGTTTTTATCAAGCCCCCAGGTGATTTTGAAGTATATGGCATCCCTAATCACAACTTTAAAAACTGTCCCAGAAGCTGATTTTGGAAACAGACCCTGAACAGAGAAGTCCTGATCTCAGGTTCAAACAGTCATGAAGAGTCCAGAGTCCAATAGCCCTGGAGCCACTGATGGTACATCCCTCACCAAAGACAAAAGCCTTTTTGGGGCTGACTGCAACCTTTTCTATCTACAAAGGCTTCACATGAGTGGCAGCAGGTACCCTCATCTTCCTGGCTGTGCTTCACAGAAGCATAAAGACAACTTAAATTGTCAACAACAGTGAACCCCACACCCCACCCCTCTGACTCAGCTAGGGTATAGGGTTCTGAAGAGCAAAACTTCAATGCCAGGAATACAATTCAACGAACACGACTTTAGGGTAGGCAAAGCGTGTGATGCATGGAAGAAAGAAGGCAGGTATGAGGTCAGTTGCTGGGTTCAAGTCCCAGCAGTGTAACTGCAGAAGTTACTTCTCTGACACCTAGGTTCCTGGTTATAGAAAAGGGATAATAATTCATATTGCTCTGATCGTGTGCAGCTCTTAGGTAGTAAAATACAGCAAGGATGCAACTTGCCTCTCTCTATCCCATCAAATATATTTCTTGGCGTAACAATCCAAGCTCAGCTCCATAAAAACATAAGGCCTTTGGGTACACAGTGGTAGAGCAGCATTTTAAGAGAGGATGTGGGGCAAGGTGATAAAGGGCTCTAGGGTGAGAGCTGCACCCAAATACTGATACCCACTAACTGCTGTGTAGGCTTGGGAAACTCATTAGCTTTTCAGAGTTACAGTTCATTAAAAGATGATACCACTTCCCTTACAGGGCCAATTTGGAGGTAAAATAACTTAATAGAAGTAAAATGCAGTGACTGACACACATTGTAACCCCCTATTGTTATTAAGCTTCTGTTGGAGTCGACACGCAGGGACTCCTAGTTCTGCTGTGCCATTCTGTGGCTCAGTTTCTCCCTCTGTAATCCCACATAGCTCAAATTCTATGATCCTGAAATAAAACAAACCTGAGGCCAAGCATCACTCCAGGACCAACTGTGAGTTTCCACTGTCACATACAAACAGGAACCAGAAGGCAGCTATTTCCTACTGCTCCTGCTCAGGCACATTTAGTTCTCTCTGACCCCGTGCACTAAACACTCTGGTATATCTGTGTTTTATACTCACCTGTGGTGCTGGCATGCTAGGCCTCTCCCATAGGCCCAGGTGCACTATGGATGCTCTACAGGTATGTCTGAGTGGACCGTTGGGCCCTGGGTCAGGGGTGACAAGAAATGGGCAGGCAGCTGCTGACTGACTGTCAGGGAGGCTGAGGAACGGGCATGTGGTGCCGCGCAGGGAAGGTGGAGGCCGGGGGCTGGTGGATCTCTCTCCATAGGCATGGTGGGAACAACCCTGTCCATCCCCACAGGCTGCAGGAGGACGGGCTAGGCTGCCACATTTGGTCCACACAGCTATGCTTGAGCACTGTGAATCCTGAGGAATTACTACCATACTTAGAGCAGTCCCTAAAGCTCTGTGTGACCTGATTATCATATGAGTTAGAAAACCTCCTGGCCTTGAGAGAAAGCTCCTTGTTCTCCTCACATGCTAAAGCCACGTCTTTTTGCTCATGGCACCCACCTTCTTTCCTAAAGCCTAGGATAGAGTCAAAAGCCTGCATGACCTAGCGCCACCTCCCTCTGCTGCCCTGGCCACAACCACTGCGCCCTGGCTCTCCTTGGCTCTCACTGTTCCTTCCCTTTAAATCTCAACCAACCCCAGCCCCCTGGCTCTTCAAGGCTTCAAACACATGCCACCTCCTCCCAGAAGCCTCTCCAGTGTTGTAACCCACAGAGATTCTCACCATCTCAGCTCTGAGAACCAGGCCAAACAGATCTTTGCCTAGTCATTGTAGAGGAGTCTGTTATTTGGGGATAATTTCTTTCACCAACCCAAGACTATCTAGAAGTATCTCAAGACCAGATAGACTCAATTTTTCTTCTGCATCTCCCCATGTCATCTGCATACACAGCAAGTGTTCAACAGACACAGAATTGCACTGGCTGATTTCTGATCAAAGGCCCTGATCTCCTTTCATTATGGGGAGACCCCCTTTCCGTCTTCTTCCTTCAGACCTGACGTTCATATGCCTGCTTCTATGAGGCTGGATGAAGATCCCCGAATTAAAAATATCCCAAGCCAGGTACACTGGAGACTGTAGGGAGGCATGCTGCCCCTCGTGGCAGTCGCCTGAGTGTCCCATGGCCCCTCACCCACCTTTTCAGACCCACAGCTAACTAAAGGTCACATTCTTCCAGTCTATTTCACGGCTTAGGCGTAAGAAGTGCTTTCACAGTGGGAGCTTTCAGAGAACTGTGGGAAGGGAACAATAGGGCTCTCTTCCAGGCAGAATGCCTTTTGCCTTCTCTACAGGAGTTTTCTCGGCTCTCTCTGTGCTGAGAAAGCTAATTTAGAGCCTGAAGCCTTATCACCTACAGGGAGGGGCCCAGCCTTCTTCTCCTAAACTGAGATGGGAGACTACTGGTGAGCCTCAAAGCCATGCGATTCCATGTGGAGCCTGCTCCCCTAGCAACAGAACCAAAGAACCCACCATACCACTTGTGGCTGAAAATCCACATTAGTGAACCAAACATACACCCCTGCCCCCACTGGAGACCCTGAAGAAGCAACTGGTTGCTTTTGGAGGGACCTTTTGGTTCTGACCAAAAGAAGGAACAGATCAAGGTCTCGCGCCTTCATTCTGTAAGCCAGGGACCTCACACCAAAATTCACAAGAAACTGAAAAAAGGCAGAGTATGAGTCTGTAAGAAATAAAATTCTTCTGATTTAAGATGGGAGACATCTTGATTTAGAATTCAGATTGGATAAGACCTGTCTGGCCTTTGGCTTTGGGCTTGGCTCCAGTGAGGTGGCACTCTTGGAAAGGTGAGTATGCGAGGAAGGCAGGAACCCTGATATCACTCACCTTTAGATCCAGGTACTCCAGGTCTTTCTTCAGCTGGAGGTAGGTGTCATCAGCCTTCAAATGAAGCAGAGAGGGAAAAACACAGTTACGAACACCAAGAGTTTCCATACCTGGAGGTTTCCCATGTGCATTATTTGTATGGTGCAGTTTTCGGAACAAGGAACCACAGCAGACCAACACATCAGGGGCCACAGAGGAAGCACAAACATCTTGGTGCAGCTGAGAGCCCTCTTTCAGCAAGGCGGACCTTGCAGGTCACTGTGGGGAAAGTCAGCTTGTCCCCCACTGGCTCGGGGAAGTTTGGCAGGGAGGATCCTACCCCAGGGCTAGGGCAGCTGAGGCAGTGTTGTGCTCCCAAGATAGACCTGGGAGGTCCACCCGGAGAAGCACATGCCACACCTGATCTACAACACATCAGTCATCATTGCTCCAAATCCATCCATCAAACCTTTGGTCTGGATCACTTCACATGCATGAAGATGAAGCTCATTGGTGTGGGCAGATGCCAAGAAGAGGCAGGGAGATGGCCTGGGTGACCCAGGAGGTCCCAATATGACCTTGGTTTCCAGAATAACCACGAGCAACTGATGGAAATTTCCTGCAAGTTTGGTTATTTTTGCTCAGCATGGAGCCAGTGTAGCCACATCAGGAGCTACTTGAGACAGGTGCAAGGTCAGACCCATCTGTTTGTGGCATCTCTGACAATCTATCAAGTTCTTCAGTATAATTACCAGAAACAGTGAAAATAAGAAAAAGACTCTTTGATTTCCTAAAACGTATGCTTTCCCGTGTAGCAGATCACAGAAGCTAACCGTGAGGCAGAGGAGCTGTGAAAGCTCAAGAAAAATAATCCAGGCACCATCTTCTCAGCAGATTAAGAGGGTCCCAGCCAAGCAAGCCATAGCTGGGGCAGGTGGTCTTTGCTTACAGCTCTGAGGTAAGACAGTCACACAGAAAAACCACACGAAGAGTTGAGGCAGTGCTCTTAAGCATGGGAATGCCTGGGGGACAACTGTCAGGAGCACTAGTGGCTTGCAAGGTCTTGTGTCCCTAAACTAATCCCTTACCCATCCATTCTTCCCAAACAGCTCAGTCCCTACACACTTGCTACAGGAGTGAGACAGAGCAGAAGGTTATTCAAGATCACTTAGATTCACAACCGATGATAGTTTTTGCACTGACATTCATTTTTCTGAATACAATTCCTAAATCTCTCATAACTCACTAAAACAGAACAAGGAAGGAAGGTAACAGTCCTGTCACCCTCCTCATCTGTCCCCTGCCTACCTCTGTACAGCCTGGAGGACCAGCCTCATTGGCTGAACCTATTCCTGCCTGAGGACAACCCCAGCGAGGAATCCTTTTCTTTAATCTTTCTGCTCAAGATACCCGGGAGGGCAGCCCCCAGCCAGTTCTTGAGAAGTTTGCTTGCAAAGTCCAATGTTTTTGCAACAGTTTAGAACATTGTGTCATGCAGGTCTTGGATTTTGGCTGCAGCCTGCATGCTTCTAGCTGAGGGATCCTGAGCAAGTCACTTCCCCTTCTGGTTCCACTTGCCTTGTGTGTGGTCCTGACTCCTCTCCTACCTAACCTCTTCCAGCTTACTGTGAGGTTTAGCAGGATATGAGATGAGAAGATGCTCTGTGAGGCAGCAGGGCACCGTCCAGATAAGAGAGGGCACCCTGCATCTCCCTCCAAGCTGACGCATACGTGCCTTTCCACATCCCAAGGAGTGGCCACAGGGGCAACAAGGCTGTCAGCCAGCATAGCCCTTTGAACGTGACCACACATCAGCCTGGCAGTCACTACTTACAGCCAGAGAAGCGACAGTTTAGGACCCCTACACCACATGCAGCCCCCCTCCCCAGTGCCAGCAGGGTAGGCTCGGCCTCCACCACCACAGAGTATCTGGCAGTAGCATCCAGAAGCAAACAGGCAGCGAACAAGGGAGAGGCAGACAGCAGAGACAGACCAGAGCATGGGCACGAGCGAACACGAGCCAGCATGTCACTCCCTGCCCCCGGCCCTAAGAGAAGCCCACCAGTGCTGACCTGGCAGGTGGGAAAGGTCAGCTGGTGCTGCAGTAACTGGCCGATGGCGAAATTTCGCACACTGGCTAACTTGGCCTGGTGCCGCCTTAACCGGGTGAGAAGCAACGAGAGCTCCTCCAGCTGCAGGTGTGTAGACACAGCACAAGGAAGTTAGCACCACAGGAGCATGCTGCTAGAATTACGCTCTTCACCCTGGTGTCAGTGCCAGGACAGCACTGATGTGACACCATTAAGCAATTACTGCGTTAATTCTGTCATTAGGACAAATAAAAGCACTGGCAGTAAAAGGGCTTCAGGAAGTTGTTTTTTCAGGAAAGCAACAACCAACAGTGCAACCTCACCCAGACCCAAGCTTTTTTTTTTTCTTCTGCTTTGAGACAGTCTTGCTCTGTCACTCAGGCTGGAGTGCAGCAGCGTGAGCATGATTTTGGCTCACTGCAAACTCCACCTCCTGAGTTCTCGTATCTCAGCCTTCCGAATACCTGGGATCACAGGAGTATACCAACACACCCAGCTAATTTTTGTATTTTTAGTAGAGACGGGGTTTCGCCATGTTTGCTAGGCTGGTCTTGAACTCCTGGCTTCAAGTGATCCACCCATCTCGGTCTCCCAAAGTGCTAGGATTGCAGGTATGAACCACCATGCCTGATCTCAGACTCAAGCTTTGAAGATAGAGCTAACTAATTAATTAATCAAAGATCAGGGAAGAGAGGAGAGGCACTACCTGCGGAAAAAGGTGAGTAGCTGGAAAACATTTATGGCAAAATTCAGCTTGAAAGAGGAGATAAGCCTAACATTCCCCTACATTCCCCCACAAGCTCTTCCCCTTCATTGGGGACCCAGTGACAGCCAGGTGACCCTAAGCAAGTCATTCGACTTCTCTGAGTCTCAGTTTCCTCATCTCTAAAATGGGAGTTGATAGCTGCCCTCTGGACTGCATTGTACTGACTCAGAGGAAGGAAAACGTTGATGAGATAGGGCATTGCAGGCTGTGTCTTGTCATTCACCTTACCGATTTTCCATGTAAACTGGGAGCACTGACGGTGTGGGTCATGTAACCCATGGAGGGCATGGAGCGTCGGTCCACGTGAGACGAGTTCTGCAAGTGGGAAGACAAGAAGTCACACTGGAGCCCAAACCTCTGCCACCCACTCCCAGGGCAGCCCGCCCCATGCCACGTGGGTCCCCTCTGAGCCCCAGACTCCTCATCTATGAAATGAGCACACGTATCTTACTCTTACGGTTAGAACACTAAACGGTGAAAGCCCTTGGAAAGTGAAAACTTAAGCTGGGTTGTTATAAATAGTTTAACTGACTGGACACATGTCTTTTCCTGCCTTTCAAGCTGCAAGGAAGCTGACTTGTAGTTGTGTGACCCCCTGCAAGTTACTTTGTCTCTCCGCGCCTCAGAGTTCTCATCTTTGAAATGGGCATAAACATAGCACCTACCTCACAGGGTTGTGGTGAGAATTTAAAGCAAAGCCTTTGGGAACTGTGCCTGGCATCTATTATTAAAATGTACTACCTAAGTATTAGCTATCATTATTATCCCAAATTACTCAAATTTGTGTTCAAACCAGGCAAGGCTCCTGGCACCCTCACGCTGACCCAGCAGCCTGGCAGAGCTTCCCGAGCCTCACCTTGACAGCGTAGCCCCGTGCCTTCCTTGGAGAATCCCCCAGTGAGATGTCCACACTCCTCCTCTGGTCCGGTGGCTTCACTGTGACTCGCTCTGCTGGCGTGTGTGGCCGCCGGGGTGGGAAGACCCTTGGGGGTCCCGGGGGAGGGATGTCCGAGGGAGATGGAGGCACAGAGATGGAGCGGGGCACCTCTAGCATGCTCCTGCTCCGGCCCTGGTCGGTGAACTCTGGGGAGCCGAGGCAGATAGGTGCCGTGGGGCTGCCGTGCCGGAACTGCTGGCGCTGCTGCCACTCGTAGAGCTGCCACACGGTGCCATCCCGGTGCGCCCGGCGCTCTTCACTCGACATCTTCAGGTGGCTGGCTCGGTCCTGCGCGTACTTGTAGTCACTTGGCAGGTTTCGGGGAGGTGGCGAGGAGCCCCCCGAGGGGTGTCGGGTGCTCCTGGGAAGAGTCTGGTAGTTTTCTGGGAAGGACAGGGGTTGGCCAGGACCCTGGCGAGGAAGCGTCTGGTCCAAGGGAAGACTGAGAAGAAAGGGTAAGAACACGTCAGGCCACCAAGTGAGGGTTCTGCCAGGATTTGGGGAATATACCTAAGTAAACCCACAAAGCTGGGCACGTGGGAGAGTCTGTGAGAATCCCAAAAGAATGATCAAGGCTGACATCCAGGACTTCAGTCACTTCCCCTTTTTGCAGACAACTCCAAAACCATTTTTCTCTGTCAACTTCCTCTGCCAGGACAACTTGGCTACCCCATGCCCATCAATTGCAGTGCAATGTGATTAAACCTGGCTTTTCCTTCTCTCTCCACTGCCAGCAGTCAGCTCTTTCCACGGCTGTGCATATTTATAGAAATTCACAATTCTCCAGGTTACCAAGATTTTCTCTCTGCTTGGTATCCTTAGCACCAAGTTCTGGAGGTTCATAAAGGAAGTAGCTGGCATCAGTTCTCTTTTTCCTGGACTATTCTAGACCAGATACTGATTATCTCCCTCCAGATAACTTTGAGATGCTCCTAACTGGTTTCTACTTTGTCCACAGTCAAGTGCTCTGATCAAATCAGTTCCCTATTTCAAAAATTTCCATGGCTCCTTGTCACTTGTGAAATAAAGTCTAAACTCCTCAGCCTGGTACTCACAGCTCGCTAGCAGCTGACCTCAACCCACCTTGCAGGCCTGCTGTTTTCTCACTGCTCTTCCTACCAGGGCCACGCCAAATGCCTAGGGCCCAAAACTGAAGGAAGTACTCCATCTCAGGGTCACCCCTGCACATGCTGGTGCCTGACAGTCAGCCCCACCCTAGTCCTGGTCCAGCCTCCTCCACACCTGAGCAATATCTTGCAGTGGAAAAAGGAAAGGTAGGAGTCTAACCTGGGTTTGAAGCCGAGCTTTACACTTGCTGGCTTTGTGACCCTAGGCAGCTTACCTGACTCTGAACTTCCATTTCCTTACTTGTAACATGAGGACAGTATTACCTGCCTCATACGGCTCTTCTGAGGAATCAATGAGACAGGTTAGGAAATGCAATCTCCATGTCTGATACACAGAAGGTCCTTCACTAATGTGTGTACCCTTCCTGTCCCTCCTTACTCTTATAACACTGTTCTTCCCTCCCCCTACCTGGATGGTCTCCCCTTGCTCTATTTACCCAAGTCTTACTCATTCTCCAGGATGCTGGCCCATGCCTTCCCCATGTGGACCTTCTGCAGTGCCACAGCCCTCAGTGATCCAGCTCTGTTTGACCTAGTTATCACATTGCCTGTAACTTTTCCAAGGTCCTATATTGATGTGATCTTTTCATACTTGCAAGACATGTTTTCCCAGGCCAAGGTGAAAATTCTTGAAAGACAGGAACTGTGTTTCAGACCATGGTATTGTCCACAGTCTAAGAAAGTCCTATGCATAATTAGCCCTTCAATAAACACTCCAGCACACAAAGCTGGATATGATTTCAAAAACTACCACCAACTAGGCATCTTATTTTCTCTTTTTTGAGACAGATTCTTGCTCTTTTGCCCAGGCTGGAGTGCAGTGGTGCAATCTCTGCTCACTGCAACCTCCACCTCCCGGGTTTAAGGGATTCTCCTGCCTCAGCCTCCTAAGTAGCTGGGACTACAGGTGTGCACCACCATGCCTGGCTAATTTTTGTATTTTTAGTAGAAGCAGGGTTTCACCATGTTGGCCAGGCTGGTCTTGAACTCCTGACCTCAAGAGATCTGCCTGCCTCAGCCTACCAAAGTGCTGGGATTACAGGCATGAGCTACCGTGCCCAGCCTCCACTTTATTTTCTGAGAAGGAAAAAAAAATTAAGCAAGGGACGAAGTATGGAATTTTACTAAGCCTGAGAGGCAGCATGATGTTGTAAAAAGAAAACAAGTTTTATAGTCAGACAGGCTTGAGGTCAATTCTGACTCCGCCTTCACCTATCAATTTTATCTAACATTTATTTGGTGCTGACATTGTGCCAGACATTGTTCCAAGCCAACACTACTCAAAGTGTGGCCTGTGTGCCACCAGCATCAGCACCACCTGGGGACTTGTTAAAAATGCAGGTTAATGAAATAAGCCAGGCATGGAAAGACAAATACTGTGTATGACCTCACTTATATGTGGGATCTAAAAAGGTCAAACTTATAGAAGAACAGAGTAGAGAGGTGGTTACCAGAGGTTTGGGAGGGATAAGAGAGATGGAAGAGGAGCTGTTGGTCCAAGGGTGCAAAGTTTCAGTTAGGAGGAATAAGTTCTGGTGACCTACAGCACAGGCATAGTGACAATGGTTAATAATAATGTATATTTCAAAATTACTAAAAGTAGATTTTAAATGCTCTTATCACCAAAAAGAATAAGCAGATAAGGTGATGAATATGTCAATTGGTTTGATGTAATCATTTCACAGTGTATACATATATTAAAACACCACATCTATCCCATACATATAATTATTATTTGTCAATTAAAAATAAGATATATTTTTAAAATGCTTGTTATCAGCCCCACCTCAGACCTACCTAATCAGGGGATGGTGCCCAGGCATCAGTGTCTTAACAAGCCCTCCAGGAGATTCTAGTGCTCTGCAAAGTTTGAGAAACTGTTCTAATTGTTTTAAAACTCACCTCATTTAATCACTTTAGCTATATGACTTCAGGCAAGTATCATCCAAGCCCTCTAAGTCTCACTTTCCTTATTACAAAATGGGGATAGTAAGAACCACTTTGAAAATTGCTGTGAGGATTTGAAATAGTTGTCATTCAAATAAAGCTATCTTTGCCATTGCAGGAGATAACTTTAAGATCTCTTCAACCTACTTGTCGCGCCTGCCAAGTGAGTCAGCCTGTCACTAGGTGGCAGGGTTTGCTATTGATTTCCCAAAGTTAGACACGAATGTGCCTCTGAGACGGGGCAGTGCCTGAATCCTCAAAACAGAGGTGGTAGCAGTCGCGGAAACCAGGCTGGAGGCTTCCTCTGGGGAGTTCAGGACTTGACTAACCATTGTTCATTCTGTCAGAAGCAAAATGCAAACTATGCAAAGCATTTCAGAGCCGTGCTCCCACCCATACGCCCTTCCCGGCTGGCTCTGCAGCTCACTCCCTTGCCTGCCTACAGTGCCTGGAAGGTCAGAGTCCACCCTCACCTCTCCACTGCCCCGCTAGCAGCACCCCAAATCCCCGAGCTCATCCTCTAAGCTGTACCCTCCATTTACACATAGTCTGCCATTTCGGAGTGACCCCAAGGTACCGGTACAATGGTGAGCCCTGGCTCCAGGGGCCAAAACAAGGTAACTGACTATGGAGGAGGAACACAGGAGGAGGTGGTACTGTGGTTGAGGTATAGACCCCATGGGAGCAAGTGGGAGCTTCCAGAGTAGCTTTGCCCCTAACAGCAGATCCATTTGCTGGCCCCCCAACCTCCGGTCTTACCCAAAAACTGGGCTCAAGGTCTCCTCACACCATGCTCTGTAGCCACAGGACCTCCCTGTCACTGAACAGGCACTAAACAAGATATTCTGATACAGCCACTATAGAAATGGTCATGTGGAAATGCAGTATCATTTTTTACGACCAATTATTATACTTTACTCAGCAGATGTTCTTCAACCTAACTTCCAATCACACAGGACTCCCACTTTCTACTCTGTTCTATACTGTAGTGTTTGAATCTCCTGATCCTAACTCTATTCCCCACCCCAACCTTTCTATTTTACAAGTATGCATTACGTTAAACACTGGGAGGTCAGGGTGGGAAAATGAAAGCCTAAAATTTCAAAACAAGCTCTTAAAATACAGTAAGATTCTAGGAGTATGTCAGTCTGTCTCCCACAAACCATATTCTAAAAAAGTTTAATGATGTGAAATATGTATCTCCCATTAGAAATAATTCCCTGTTGGTTTAAAGCCAAAAATACAGGATCATATTGCAGTTCAAATAACCCTCCTCCCAATGTCTTAATGTGCTCAGTCTAATGAGATTAGCAGTCTTGATGATATGCAAAACAGAGATATCTATCTCATATATTTTCAAATGGAAAATGGAGGAGGTTCCTTTATTCAGCAGCCAGATCTATTTATGACTTACTGTAAGAGACTACAAATATATCTTTAAGAAAAAAAAATACCTGGGACTATAAGAGGCAGGCCTTTTAAAATACAAGAGAATGATCAGAGACGGAGACACTTTGCTCACTTAAAGATTGACAGCATTTTCTGTTCTATCTTCTGTCTTCAGTTCTTCACTTTTATTCACTTTCTAGCCCATTGAGATCTGCTTCCCTTACTAGAATGAAATTCCTCTCACTGTGTGCTCAGTGACCTCCAAAGCCAATGAGCTGTTCTCCTCTACAGACCTGATGTCTCTCTGCCTCTTAGATAAGAATGGCTCAAATCCCCATCTTGCATCCCAGGGAAAGTCCTGTGCCCTCCCCACCCACCTCTTACTTCCCTGTAAACTTCTCATTCTTTAGGTCTCTGATGCACACCCCACTCCCAGCTCTCAAATTCAGGCCATTATGTGTAGTAGAATAACATGGTTTACAGGCTACTGGAGCAGTTATGTAGAGACATTTCATAACTGACAACTTATCACTGCATTATCAGTCACCCAGCTTTTGAGAGTTTTTTCTGTGCCCCTGCCACGAAGGATTTCTCACTGGCCATGCCGTCTTACTGATTTCAACGCCTCCTTTTACTCTGCCTCCTGAGCTAACTTTGACACTGTAGCTCTATTAAGGATGGCAATACAGGTTTGCCCATCTAAGCCCCTCAAGCAGCTCAGTGGAAAAAGGGTTTCTGCTACCGAGCAAAAGACCCGCCACGTTCTGGACTTTCCTTCAGGGGTGCTCAGCCTCCTTGAAAGGTACTACGTCTCAAGTATCTGCTTTTGGTAGCAAAAAAAAAAAAAAAAAAAAAAAAAAAAGGCAAGGCGGCACCACAGCCAGGTGGAAGTCCTTACCTGCAGCACCGTGCACTGCTGCCTGGACTCCTTCCAACTGAAACTCTCCCCCACAGAACTTCCAGTTTTCCTCCCCCATCTTTTCCTCATCTCCTTCAAGTGACTTAGTTTTTGCCTGACCCTTAGGCTGGGGGTCCTCAATGTTCTGTTGTTGGCCCTCTGCGACTGTGCTCTCTCAGTTGAGGATTCTTAGTCCCGGCTGCCCATTAGATCATTGTGGGAGGAGGGACGGGGGAAAATGTGCTTCCTAAAAACCTTATGTCCAGGCTGCAACCCAGACCAATGGAGTCAGATTTCTGCTCAGGAGACTAAGGCCTCACCAAATGTTGAAACTCTCTAGGTGATTCCAATGTGCAGCCTAGCAACAGTTTCTTGACTGTGGACATGCACTAGAATCACCTAGGGAGTTGTATGTATGTATTATTTATTTATTATTTTTTTTGGGGGGACAGGTTTTTGCTCTATCACCCAGGCTGGAGTGCAGTGGTACGGTCATAACTCATTGCAGCCTTGAACTCATGGGCTCAGGTGATCATCCCGCCTTAGCCTCCCAAGAAGCTGGGACCACAGGTGCATGTCACCACATCTAGGTAGCTTAAAAAATAAAAAAAAATTTTTTTGGTAGAGATGGTGTCTTGCTATGTTGCCCAGGTTGGTTTCAAACTTCTGGACTCAAGTGATCCTACCACCTCAGCCTTCCAAAGTGCTGGGATTATAGGCATTAACCAGCACACCTGGCCAACCTAAGGAGCTTTGAAAACATACTGATGGCTTGACCTCACCCCAGACCAACTGTATCAAAATCTCTGGGGTTGGGCCTCAAATGATCAAACCATGCAGATAGGATTAAGAAACATGGCTCTAAGCATTCCACCCTGGTTAATCTCAACTACTGCCAGGGCATTAGTTACCATCTCTAAGGCAATGACTCTAGAATCCCTCTACAGCCTGTACCCACATTCCCTATAGCCTCCTGGTCATTTCTACCTGGACACTCCAAAAGGACCACATTCCTCATCAAGCTCATGTCTCTTACCTATGCTTATATCTGCTGCACAGCACCATATCTACCTATTAACCAAGCCAAACCTGAATGCTAACTCCACTCCACCCATGTCCAGAACTCTAACTCCCTACTTACATGTCCAAAATGGAAATCCTGATTTCCCCCAACTTGTTCCTTCCTTATCCTTCCCCATCTCAGTAACCACCCGGTTGCTCAAGTCAAAATTCTCTAGATCTGTTTATTGTAGCATTATTCACAATAGCCAAGATTTGGAAGCAACCTAAGTGTCCATCAGCAGATGAATGGATAAGCAAAATGTGGTACTTATACTCAATGGAGTACTGTTCAGCCATAAAAAAGAATGAAATCCTGTCATTTGCAACAACATAGATGGAACTCAGGGACATTATGTTAAGTGAAATAAGCCAGGCACAGAAAGACAAACTTTGCATGTTCTCACTCATTTGTGGGAGCTAAAAATTAAAACAATTGAACTCATGGAGATAGAGAGTAGAATGATGGTTACCAGAGGCTGGGAAGGGTAGTGGGCAGGGGGGAGTAGGGATGCTTAATGGGTACAAAAATATAGTTAGATAGAATCAGTAAGAGCTAGTATTTGATAGCATAACAGGATGATTATAGTCAACAACAATTTATTGTACATTTAAAAATAACTAAAAAGGGGTCAGGTGCAGTGGGTCATGCCTATAATCTCAGCACTTTGGGAGGCCAAGATGGGAGGATTGCTTGAAGCCAGAAGTTCGAATCCAGCCTGGTCAACGTAGCAAGATTACATCTTTATTTTAATTTAAAAAATAAAAAGTAACTAAAAGGGTACAATTGGAATGTTTATAACACAAAGAAATGATAAATGCCCGAGGTGATGGACACCCGTTACCCTGTTTTGATTATTACATATTGCATGCCTGTATCAAAAGATCTCATATACCCATAAATACATGTACCTACTATGTATCCACAAAAATTAAACAAAGTTTTCAAAATTCTAGACATCATCCTTGTTGTTTCCCTCATCCTGCATTCGAATTCACTTATAACCTTTGCGGTTGCAACCTCCAAAATGTATCTCAAATTGGTTTATTCATCCTATTTCCATTGTCACCCTCATGGACTACTGCAATAGCCTCCTTCCTAGGCTCTTACCTTCTTCGTGAAATATTCATCAGATCACATCACTTACCTGCTTAAAACCTTCCAGTGGTTCCCTATTGCTTTTTCAAATAAAATTCAAATGCCTTACTTTAGAGAATGAGGACCTACATTACATTACCCCTGCCAACTTTCCAACCTCGCTCAGCAGTAAGGTCATCTTACAACCACCTACCAGGGTGCTACTTAGGCCAGCACCAAGAAGAGCAGCTTCCCTTCCCTGTGTCCTCAGACAGTAGCTTTCTGTTTTATTAATAAGATACAAAATGTGAACAAACAGAATTGACACCTGGTCATTCCCAGTTGGGAATGGGAAGGTGTCTTAGCTACAGCACAACAGGCCTTCTCTTCTAGTCTGCTCCACAACAATGTCTATCAGTTACTTAGGAAGGCTCCATTGTGATTTTTCCACCATCCACTCTCACAACTGCCCAGCTGGACCAGATTAAAGAGGCTACAGCAACCCACATATGAACAACACACCCACATACTTGAAAACAGGACTAGGCTATTCCCCTAGGAGCACTGACCACCTCCAGAATCCACAGGTAGAAAGCTTGGGCCTGGCCAACAGGGAGAAGGAAGTGTGACCTTTCAGAGCATGTTATCAGGCCTGTGGCAGACTTGGTCTGGATGCTGGCACATCCACTGCAATCCCTGGGGAGCTCTCTGAATGCACATTGGCTTTGCTATCTCCTCTCTTGTCAGTGATTTGTTTAGAAGCCTGAAAATAGTGAGCGAAATCTGTCACGTCTTTCATAATGAAGACAAAGCACAGTGGCTTCTGGGGACAACAGGGAAGCTAGTGACCCTGAATTCTTCACATTCAGAAATGTGTCCTAATTAATCTGAAATTATAATAAAATACAGACAGTGCTTGGCAAATAGCAAGATATGCATGCCTTCTAAATAATTAAAATCTTCTTGAAGGAATGTATCTGATAAAGCCCAATGTCAACAGTGCCTACGCACTTCTGTATGTGCCTGGAATTAAAAATGAATCTCTATTTACTCCAGTTTCCATAAACATTTCTTGGATGTAGAGAAGTAGCAGCAAAAGAGGAGAAGATTGGTTATCATTTACATGCTGAATGTCTCAAGGCATTCTCTGAGGAGTAGAAAAGACTCTGGTGTAATCGTGTGGGGGCCTTGGAGGCTCACAGACCCAGGACTGAACTCTGGCCTTACCACCTGTGTGCTGTGGGCAGGTTCCTTGACTTCTCCAAGCCTCAGTTTCTGTCAAGGAATATCACCCTTTCTTGCAGGGTTGTTACAGGGATTTACGTAGGTAATGGCGGTAAAGAGTTTAAGGCCGCCCTTACACAGCAAGTGCTCGCTAAATGACAGCTATTGCCACTACATTATTGCACTCATTATAAGCAGTGATCCTGAGTCTATTACTCACCTCCTGCTGTCCCCCTTCTGGGCCCTTGCCCAGTGCTCCACCTGGACCAGATTGCTCTTCCTTTGGCTGTGTTTTTCAGGGTTGGTCCTGGGAGGAAAGGCCCGCTGGTACCCGCCAGTCCCATTCTGTTCTCCTGGGCCATATGAGGCAGGCAACATTCCATTCTTCTCTGCCCGTTGGGGCTGTGCCTGCTGGCCTCTTGGGCCACTGGGTAAATCCATAAACAAGGCATCCTCCTCGGCTGGCGAGTATGGAGACCTGGCCTTGCTCCGGTCCCGCTTGCCCTCCAGCGGGTCCCTCTGGGAACGGTACTGCTCTCCCTCCTGCTCCTGCCTCTCGAAGTTGACAGTGTCATCATGGCCACGATGAGAACAATCTCTCGTATGTCCGGGTCCCACCCGGCCACATTCATGACAGGACTCTGTGTGGTTGGCCTGGGGGACAGCCTGCCGCTCCACCTTCTCCATGTCCCTGCAATGACAGCAGCACATTCAGTTTGCTCCACAGCCAAGACCACGATGAAATGCACTGTACACTCAATCACCTGCAGGCCTTTGCACAGGTTATTCCCTCTGCCCAGAACACCTTTCATGCTCATGTCCTCACTCTGCCTGCCTAACTTCTGCTCCTTTGGGGATCTGGCTTAAACAACACCTCCTCCAGGAAGCCGCCCTGACATAAACTTCCAATTTAGAATAGGATCTTATGCTGATCCCACTGTCACACTAATCGCACTGGACCATAACTGTGTTTATTCATCTAGCTCCCAAATAAACTATGAGTTCTTTTTGGCCAGAGGCCCATCTGGCTGATCATCATACGCCCAGAACTTCTACACAATGACTGGTATAAAATAGGCACTCCGTAACAACTACTGCAAGAGAGAATGAATAAATTATACATGTGACATTCACATGAAGACCACTCCTGTGCTCCCATTCTACTCTGTGCTACTGATCTTGCCTTTTCCTTTTGCGATTTATCCGTTTGTCTGTCTGGGGCTTAAATGGAAAGCTCCTGAGCTCAGGATCCCTTCCACTGGTCTCTAGCATAGCCCAAAGTACAAATGATAGCATAATTAACACTCTTCAAAGATGGTGAATAGAGAATGGGCACAGCAACCTCTTTATGTGAACAGCAACCTGTTTCTATCTTATCAGGGAACAGTTCAAACAGAAACAACTCTCATGTCTATCTACAATAATTTTGTGAAGTATTATTAGTCAGATTTTAACAATAAGGAAACTGAGGCACAGAGAAGATCAATTGTTTGCCCAAGATCAAACAGCTGGAACAGAGTGGAGCCTGGGCTTAAACCCAGTAGACTCCAGAGCCCATGTGTGGTAGGCTTTGCTCTACTGCCTCTCCACATGTGTCCATGCAAACCTGGAAGCTATAAAAGAGAATGGGGTGGGGTGATAGGTCAGGGTGTGAACTGAGGCTACAGGAGGAGCTTTGGGACATGGTGGAGGGCTCCTCTTTCATGGTCCATCTCCCCCGGTAAGCTGCCCTTCTCTCTGCCTCCTTGGGGCAGGGTCCTAGTTGTCTGCATCCTGATCACCTGGCACCAGGGATACAATAGTGGCTCCACAAGCTTCGCAGAATTTAGATTAGGGAGGCAAGAGAACTTGTTCCAGCTCAGCTCAGATGGACTAGAAAAATTACCAAAGACCTTTACTTAGATGGGGCAGCTGGTTTAGCTATACTCCTTGGTTTAAAAAAAAAAAAAAAAAAGGTCCTGGCCTTAAGATCCACCACTCAAAATGGGGCCAAGCCAGAGGCATTTTCTTCTCCACATGAGAGTACATAATAGAAATGCTACTGCATTTACATCTCGGTGGCCACACCCCAGGTGTCTTTGCAACAACTTCAGAACCTCAGCTACCAATAATCAACACAGATTCAGGGCAGAATCAACTCACCCTGAGAGCCAGAGCTAGTTAGAATGTCAATATAATGTGAAAATACAATCCTCCACATGGGGTCTGCTTTTCACTGTGTGTGGGTCTGTTGCCTTTAACTTAGGCAGGGTGATAGGGTTTGGCTGTGTCCTCACCCAAATCTCATCTTGAACTGTAGTTCCCATAATTCCCATGTGTCGTGGGAAGGATCTGGTGGTAGGAAATTGAATCATGAGGGAGGTTACCCTCATGCTGTTTTCCTGACAGTGAGCACGTTCTCATGAGATCTGATGGTTTTAGAAGCAGCTTTTCTCTTTTTGCTTGGCACTTCTTCCTGCCATCATGCAAAGAAGGACATATTTGCTTTCCCTTCCACCATGATTGTAAGTTTCTTGAGGCCTCCCCAGCCATGTGGAACTGTGAGTCAATAAACTTCTTTCCTTTATAAATTATCCATTCTTGGGCAGTTCTTCATAGCAGTGTGAGAATGGACTAATATACAGGGAGAACTGAGAAAAGCAATCACTCTTCTCGCTGTTCATGTACCAATGTCTTTTCCATGGAAACCCCAAGCTTTGTGGAAAAAAATAACGCATCTTTGGAACTCCTTTTATCCAACAGAGGACTTCTTTCCTCTCCAACCTCCACACTGTATCCACTGCCCTTCTGATAACAGCATTTCAATTTTCATTTGGGGATCACTTTCTCCTACCCTCAGTCCAGGTGGTTCAGGTGCTGCTGACTCCCTGTCCAGCTGAGGGTCCACAGTCTCAGTGACTGGTTCAGGAGTTGACTACTCCAGGCCAATCAGAGTCAGCCCTGGGACTTGGGTTGGAGCTGCTGCAATTGTGTGGGAAGGCACTGCTTAAGAATGAAGTTAACACAAAGGAAAGCAGGTGGAGAAACACAGAATCCTAAAAACTTGGCTTAAGCTCCTACATCTAACCATATGTAAACCAGATATCTCTTTGGATTTTTTAGTTGTTAATAAATAAATTCCTTCTTCTTCTTTTTTTTTTTTAACAGCATCTTGCTCTCTCACCCAGGCTGCAGTGCAGTGGCATGGTCATGGCTCACTGTAGCCTTGATCTGCTGGGCTCAAGTGATCCTCCCACCTCAGCCTCCTGAGTAGCTGGGACTACAGGTGCATGCCACCATGCTCTGCTAATTTAAAAAAAAAAAAAAAATTTGTAGAGACTGGGTCTCGCTATGTTGCCCAGGCTGGTCTCAAACTCCTGGGTTCAAGTGATCCACCTGCCTCAGCCCCCCAAAGTTTTAAGATTACAAGCATGAGCCACCCTGCCGGGCCTAAATTCCCTTTTTCAGTTGTTAGTTTGAGTTTGGTTTCTGCTACTTATACTGGAAGGGGTCCTGCCTATTAAATCATTTTACAATGACATATTGAGATACTGATGAGTGAGGGCCCATCCATTGTTAACATTCAGTGGCTCTATAAATTCCAGTAGGAGGAAAATATGGGAAATATTCAGAAGCCCATACTTAAAGAAAAAGTAATTCAGCTGGGTGTGGTGGCATGCCAAGGAAGGTGAATTACCTGAGGTCAGGGGTTCGAGACCAGCCTGACCAACATGGTGAAACCCCGACTCTACCAAAAATACAAAAATTAGCTGAGCATGGTGGTGTGTACCTGTAGTCCCAGCTACTCAGGAGGTTGAGGCAGGAGAATTGCTTGAACCTGGGAGGCAGAGGTTGCCATGAGCTGAGATTACACCACTGCACTCCAGCCTGGGTGAGAGAGCAAGACTCCACCTCAAAAAAGAAAAAGTAATTCTTACTGTAAGCTTATAAAGGGACAACTCTGTTCCACAATGTACATAGGACAGTTTTTTTCTCTTTTTTCTTTTTTTCACACGATGGGTTTTAGCTTTGTCTTTCCTTTCTCCCTTTAATCCTCCATAACTAGATTAGTGTAACCTGAACCAACAGTCCTCGAGTTGCCTAAGTTGGCCATTATCTTCTTTTTCTTTTTTTGATACAGGGTCTCACTATGTCACCAAGGCTGGAATGCACTAGCGTGAACAGAGCTCACCACAGCCTCAACCTCCGAGGATCAAGTGATCCTTCCACCTCTGACTCCTGCGTAACTGGTACCACGGGCTCCTGCCACCACGTCTGGCTAATTTTTAGGTTTTTTTTTTCTTTTGTAGAGACAAGGCCTTTCTTGTTGCCCGGGCTGGTCTCAAAATCCTGAGCTCAAGCAATCCTCCCAACTCAGCCTCCAGAAGTGCTGGGATTACAGGCATGAACCACTGTGCCAGGCCTATCTTCTTTATTATTTCTTACATCCAGGAAACCACCCACAGAGGATGTGCTGAGGCTACTTCAGAGATGATGAAGGCTCTGGCTGCCCTCTGGATCACACTCTGGCCAAGTTGCTGAAGCTTTAGAATCTGGCATGCTGCTTTGGTTACACTTGCTCTGATATTTCTAAGTGGTTATTCCAATTGTGATACCCAGGTAATTGTATCTCCTTGTTATTCACACCCCAAAGATAAAGAGCACCTTGTCATAAGAGCCAGATAGTGAAACAAATATGCCACCTATGGGTATGATATTAGAATTGAGAGGAAATGAAGGATTCTTCAACTCTGGAACCCAGAGACTGTGGGCACAATGTCTCAGCCCAACCAATTGTAACATGGATTTTTCTTCCTTCCCTAACCAATCACCACGTATTTACCAAGCACCTATACAGACCCCATTGGGACAGGCACCTGGGAGTATAAGAAAATAGTACAGAAAATAGCCTTTGCCTTCAAAGCCAGACAACCCTGAAGTCCAATTTAATTATGGTAACCACATTGAATACTGTTCCCATAAACACCTGACCCTCAAATCATGGAGTCTGTTAGTCTTCTCTAACCTTGGAGCTAATTTAACCATAAGTCTTAGTCCTTACTATGACTGTACATGAGTATATACACTCCCATATATGCCAGTGCTTCCTGGAAATAAATTTGACAGAGGATGATAAATCATTTTCTTTAGATTAATAGCAGCATTTATTGCAAAACAAAGCTTTAGAGGGCGGCTAAGCGAATGGTAGTCAGTTTGCCACTGGGCAGTTTTCTAGCCCTGAAGACTCTGGGGTTATGAACAGTTCCTTATTCCCACGGCTCCCGGGACTTACATAAGATGCGCCTTTGTGCACAAAATGTTCATGCTCTGGATGCAGGTAAGAAAGGTGAAAGTAATATTTCCTATTTCCCCATCTTACCAGACCTAAACGTTTAACTTACTAAGTTATGGAATCTAAGGTCAAAAAAGTTTTTTGGTATTCTCCCTGTCTCTTTGCATTCCCAACAATTTAACACATGACTTCTCAAGTCAGGACACTTGTCACAAAACAGATCTGCAATGCTCGATTTAGCACAATGATGGGAAAGAATGAAGCACCCCTTGGCTGTCAATGACTGTATTACTCAGGCAGCTTGGCCATGCAGAGCATAGATGTTTAGCTAAGACAACACAAGCCTTTCCAGATGGGCTGCTGTTCCCGTGCAGGTCATGCTATGATCATGAACATCTGAAACCAGTCACTGTTCAAGA